TTAAATTCTTCGTTAATATAGAAACAAAAATGGAATGAAAATTCAATATAAAAAATGACAAAACGTGGATCATCACGTATCGGAGTTTATTTAACATTTAACGCCGGAAAGCACAGAGAATATATTCTCACGTATGCGTGGTATTTACTTTGTGAATGTTATTTCTATTATATATATATATATTTAATATAACATTCTGCATGAATTTGTAGAAAATATTCGAAGGCATTCACTTCATTTTAACAGATATCGCTTTGTAACCGAGAATATCGCGGAGTACCAGTTTTACTGTTTTCTGATCTTCGTTCAGGAAGCGGTGGATAAGCATCCAATTACAGATGGATTAACAGCCGATTAAATCGCAATAAGAAAACGCTTAATTGAGAGACAGTGAAAGAGAGATAGAAAATAAGAGTTAAGACTCTTAACTAAGATCTTAAACGAGTTTCTACTCGAGTATAGAACTCGTTTCGTGGACATTTACAAATTTTTCCACGCAGCTTCTGTTATTTAACCAGATAAATTAATCACTTAACCATTTGACTTCAGCAACTTTTAGAAATTTTCGCAACGAACAATAGACATTTTAAATTAACGTAAGATCATGCACATGCTTACGTTAACACTAGATTAAATTTAAACGACGACGATTAAAGTGAATGTTCAATATTTTAAAGTATATTTAATATTTCAATTTGTAAGCAATTGCACAGAGAGAAAATTCGTAATCGTGATTTTTCTTTTTCGTTAGGTATTTTGTATACTTGCAATACAGACAGGTCTCGTTCTTACAAAGGGTTAACGAAGATTATCGAGATTAGATTCTCTCGATTCATCTGTATCCCGTGTAGTTACCACACTTCCCTGGAATTCATCGTTATTCTGTCTGGTGTCTAGCTAGACACGTCTTTCCACGCAACTCCTGTTTATTCATCGTGCTCTATCACAAGTTATAAAGTTTATCACAATGCGCTCCACGTTCCACAATAGCCCCTGCGTTTTCTCGCGAATATACATATCTGACAACCATTAGAATTGCTGAACTACTTCACTTTTTGTACACGAAACCGTCTCGAAGTATCCGAAAGATTTTCTTAATTTGCAGTCTCGCGAATTTTCGAAATTTTCACCGAAGACAGTGCATGTATCTCACCGTAGTGTGAGAACAAAATAATTCAAGATGTAAAGGGTAAAGAACCTAATCCAGAGGAGATTAAAGTGGAACGAAAGTTGACGAAGCACGAGTTGGATAAAATACGCGTTTTCCAAGCAAATTGTTGCCATTTACCAATGGAACAACGCGACAAGTGATACGAGTCGATGCATTGTCAGCCTACGAAGGAACGATTTCCTTGATTAAAGGGGCGTGCTTTTCAACATTTTTATGCCAGGACGTAAAATATGAATAATGATAACAAGTAATCCGTGCTTATCGTTGTCCTGCAACTTTATAATTAAGTATCGTGTTATGTTTAAATGCATTTCGTATCGCGCGAAAGTTTTAATTAAATCTCACTAGTTCTGAAATCATTCCGGGATGACACTGTAGTGTACCACAAAGGGATCATTTCATAGGGGCTTCGTGACTTTTGCTCACGTTTTGTATTAATAGTATTGTCACTGTTGCTCGTTTGTTTCATTATATTACAATTAGAGACGCAGAAATACACGCAATGTATCGTGGAAGAATTTATCAAACGTTTAAATAATAATATTGCTTAATATTTATTAATTAATAATATATTATTATTAATTGCCAATTAATACTAATATCAATACTAATATTTATTAATTAACAATATCTCTTGGTAAGAGGTAAAATGATATTTTAGCTAGCCATTTTTTTAATTATCATCATAAAAATATAAAAGTTGCATGATCATCCGCAATTTACTTGCTGTTTGTATTATTTATATACTGTTTCGTTATATTGTTTGGAGAAGGAGAAGATGGATTTATTAAAAAGAATAATGATGAAAATTTGTTTTCAAATTTTCAGACTGCAGATATTCAAGCAAATTTATATTTTTGTGAGGATAATTAAAAACACGTAGAATTGTTATAAAACGTAATTTTTAGATAGAATTATTATGTTTTTTTTTACTGTATATTTTTACGGTGATAATTAAAAAATAAGTGTAATCTAAATATATTTTTCTTTTTTGCAAAGCAAATGAAAGTCCACAAGATAAAACTGTCTTACATATTAAATGCTTAAAAGTACCACAATTATATTTTATTTTACGTTTTACGTTTCTCCATATTTTTCCATCTTTAAATTTTCCACAAAAGCATAAGGATCCACGTTCTTCGTATCATACATCATGTAAGACATCATGTATGCATACAAAATATTCAAATTGAAGACAGAGAAAGGGATGAAGAGACTATAAGAGAGTACACGAGTCATCAAAACGTAGTTTAATACTGTTTCTTTCAGTACGATAGCCTGTCCCGTTATTTTATGTAAGGAATCGCAGTCGAGGGAATGTTAAATATTGTTTTATCCAGCAACGAGATTTATCCTCAACTTACTTTGTCTGTCTGACATTAGATACTCGAAGATGAAGTGAAATGAACGACAGACGAAAAGATTGTGTAGAAAATGTAACAGAAAGAAGGGCTAGAGACGTGTGTATCTTTTTAATGAAGAAGTAGCGAATTATTTTGCTCATTTGAATTATTATTAATTTTGCTCTTTGAATATTTTTGAATTTTAATGCCAAGGTGTTTGATTGATGTTTAACTTTTCGTATTTAAAAGCAAATTTCCTTAATAACTGCGGATTTTTTAAAAATCTGAATTCATTAAAACTTAAAACAGATTTTAAAAAATAAAATCTGAATTCATTAAAACTTAAAACAGATTTTAAAAAATAAAAAAAATTTTTTTAAATCTGAATTCATGTACCGGAAATTATAAAAAGCACATACTTGCTTTGAATAAGTTTGAAGTATGTAGTATCACATACTTTGGATACTGCTTGCGTTCCGTACAATTTTATACTTTCAAATTTCATATATAAACGCAATATCGAAATTCTCAGACCTGATACTATCAAACGACAAGGATCTTTTCGCGGAATGATAAATAATTTGTTTCAGAAGCCAATGCCATTATTTCAACTATTATATACATTTTATTATATTATTGATTATACTATTTTACAGATTTAGATAGGAATCAGTTTTAAAAAAGAATACACGCTATTTTACTAATTTCCTTTACTATCTGCTTCATAAAGAAATCTGCTTAATCAAGAAAATATTACACAACGTGTTTAACTCGAGACCGAGCTTCAATCGATTTTTCAGTGTCACACAGCCGAAAGAAATCAATTTTTCTTTCTCTGCGTTACTGATATCGGTGTGCACGTTATTACGCATTCGATATCAATTATAAGTTTCAGAACATGTTTAATAACAGAGGAAAGTTTTCCTGCTGCGTTTTTAAACTACTGGTACCTCATTCGTCTCGAACGCGAAGGGAAGTAGATTATGCGCATTAATCAGTCGAACAGGCGTACCTACGTGTATGTACAGAACTTGCGTGCTTTTGCTTCGCGATAAGATGTTCTAGTTATGTTCGGTATTAACGATTCAAGCGTGTTATGATTTACGTTTCATACTTTTGTCACAACTTCTTCAACGAAGGTTTAGTCTCGTTTTTACCTGTTTGAACACAAAGTTTGAACACCAGACATGATGCAACTGTTTGTTAAATGAATCATTTCAGTTTCAAGTGAATTTTAAATTAGCGAAAATTCGTCGAATCTTCAACATTTCGAGCACGGAAGATTTTGAAAAGATTTGATTTATCTTTGAAAAAGGCTGCTCTGAAAAAAATTACGATCGATGGTAGTTAGGTCCGGGAATACGAGTGCGCAGCGCGGAAATAATCGGTACGCGGTGAAATTGATTTCGACTAATGCGACAGAATATGACAGTCGTAACAGGTTGGTTAAACACGTACACATCTCTCGATATGAGAACTATTATACCGATCGCCAATGAACACCAGCTTTATCGCACGTTGTTATCCGCTTTTCGAATTAGCGGACACATAAATGTTAAATTCGTTCGGTGTACGTGCAATTATACTCCGAACGAATAGAGAATTCGAAATGAAGTGAATTCTATATTGGTAAATTAAAGCGTGGCTTTATTATCTGCCGTGTACGAACTTTGTGCGAGTTTAATCCGTCTTTTAGCTTCGATGCGATTCAATTATGAACAAAAGTATGAATTAACTCATTTGTTGACAATTTGTCTGGTATATCTATTTGGTTACGAAGTCTTGTTTAGTTGAATACTAACTGGTCAGTAGTACTAAATGTAAATATTGAAATTGCGACTAAATGTCATATCGTGATAATGAATGTATTAAAAGAACGTAGAAGCTCGTTAGAGCATTTTAGATGTATCGATAATTCTTGAAAATTTGGACTTTTATCCAGAATGATACTATTAATAATACAATTAGAAAATGAAAATTATTTTACGTACTAAATATCTTGGAATATGGAATACTAAGTTTTATGAGAAGTTTAATTAAATTTATAGAAAGGGAAATTTTAGTTAAATATACTCGTAGAATATTATTTTTATTGTCGCAGAATATCATGGAATATTATTGTAGGATTTTATAGGATACAAATGGAATTGGATATATATATATATTTTTTATATATCTTTTCCATGTATTCTTTGCAATTTTAAAATTTCCTACAGATGAACAATCTACAGTCCAGTAATTACATCGTTAATTAAAGTTTACCGCTTCGATGGTGACACGTTTGTTTAATAATTGTTTAACAACATGAAATAACACGTTGAGAGCACGCAGTTTTCCAATACTAAAAATACATTTGATATTGCTCGATACTTTTGTTCATTTGGATCAATGAATCTTCCCCATCGTCAATGTTTTATTTAAAAAATCGAATACTTTTTAAATTTACCGTTGAATTTATTCATTCTCTTTAGAAGCCTGTTGCTTTGGAAAATGGACGGTACAATATATATGTATGTATCCATCCTACCGGCCGTAAATATAACACATTCACATTCGCTGATATTCTGTACATATTGAATGCTTTTCTCTACTTTTATTTTCTAATCATTTTAATATAAATCTATTATTTGGCTTATATATAAATTATATATAAATTATATATAAATTAAATAAAAATGAAATAAAATTTGAAATGAAATCAAAAATTAAAAAAAAAAAAAATGAAAATTGAAATTTTTAAAAAATATAATACTACATGACTGGCCATGTATAATCACACGTTTCTACTTCCTACTATGTAAATTTAATATCTCATCTACATCATACATACGTAAAATACTAAATAAACTAAAGCTTAATAAATTAAAACAGACTGATACATAAAAATTGCAATTTTTAAAACAAATATAACACTCATGACTGACTGTGTATAAATCTCTACTTTAACTTGCAGCATTCTGAAATTGCGAACAATGTCTATTGTTTATTCCCTTATTGTTTCTTTCGTCGCTTTCGTTTCTTGTTTTGCCAATATTTGGCATATATAAGGTACACGTGTGTTAAAATCTACGAAGGTTGAGCGCGCATGCTGCTCGTAAGGTTTACAAATAACACTGGAGGGAAGTTGGTATCAGCCAACTTAGAAAGAAAAGAAACAAAAACGCACGTACACGAATACGTGTGTACAAACGTATGATGTTTCGCAATGTAGCTAATCTTTTATTCAGTTAAAAGTTGATCTGCACGGCTCCTAGCAGTTCGAAAGTAGCTGCTCTAGTCGTGCTTTAAAGTTTACCGAAAACACGAGACCGGCTTATCGTGTAATTATCACGGGTGCCATATTGATTGTTCAGTGATTCGCGAATGCAAGGAAACAGGAATAGCAGCAGTAAATATAACGCAACGTTACAATTATTTTCTAATTATAGAAGTGAAAAATCGACGTGGTATTTTTCATCATTTATCGATGGCCTCCTGATTCGCAGACTTTGATGTAGCACAAGTGTAAGACTGTGCAAGTGATGAAGAAACGAATTCAATCATTATTATTAACACGAACGAGCTTAGCCCAATATGCAACATGTGTATATAAACAATGAATATAAAAATATAAAAAATATATAACGAGCCTATAATAGATAATTCTCACAGTAAATTAATAAGTAACTGATAGGTTTCAGAAGTGTGTTCTCTAACATGAATGTAATTAAATTTGAAGAATCATTAGAAAATACGAATCATACGAATGTGAATTAATTACGTTCAAAATTCTGTTAAAAAAATGTAGCTTGTTTTATAGACAAACGAATAGAAAAGAGATCTGATTCTAACGTGCCTAAGTAAAATTTAATTTGGATCGATAGATCTGATAGCTCTCTTGACTATTGGCGATCTTACAGAGAAAACATATGTGGGATATTATTAATAAGATATTCTGGTGTAGTTACAATTGTGATTATAATACCTATTTTATATCATGCAAATCTGATAAATTTATATTAAACTCTTTGCAATAAGTATAACGATTTATACTTATAGGAAAGAAACATATTTTAAATCGAAACTAGGGATACATAGAATATTTAGACTGTTTTAATATTACTGGATTTTTTTAGAATAACATTATTATCCTGCAATTTAATTACCACATCACAGATATCAGTAGTATCGCTCCGTATTGTATCAGACATGTTCTATTTGTATTCTGTACATTTCATTTTATAAATGTTCTACACATTTTATATCATAAAATACGTAGAACATATTCTCCCGTGTTCGTTAAATAAATTAAATTGAGACAACTTGCGGGAAATTTTAATAATAGCAAATCAATTTAAATAAAAAAGTGATTTGGTTGGAAAATTTTAAAATTTTAAATGCACGTTACCTTCGTCAATGAGCGTAAAGATGTTCTCGTCGGTGATTAGTTTTTGTTGTCGACAATTTGAAATGAGGGTTCGTCTACGGTTCACGGATGGGCAGAGGGTGATTCAAAGTTGAGACCCGGTCGACGTGACAGGCAACGATGTACTGACGCTCCTCGTGCTTCACCTTTACATAGGCCGGCGTGGTGACGTCACGGATCCGCGGGGACCAATGAGAAAACGAAGCTCGCACCACCACCGGGGGAACTATATCCCGTACCCCTTTTATCGGAAATATTTCTCGCAGAAAACTTGTAGCTATCCCGAACACGTAATGTTCGGCTAACCACCTGATTTTCTTCTTGCCCCTCTTCCCGCTCATCCTCAGCCATCTTCCTCCCCCATTTTTTGTCCTTCCGTTTCCATCTTCTTGCATTTTTGCTGATCTGCAAAGCAAAGATTGGACCGTGAATAACGCGGTCGTTTTTTTTTTTTTTTCTGCAATTGGAGTATCGAGATCTTCAAGAGCTCGAATTGGAAACTTAGTATGAAAAAGAATCACGAGAAACGTAGAAAACTTTATCATCTACCGCGCGATCGCTGATAATCTTTTTTTATCTAACGCTTGTGCGAGAAAATCTATCGCTGTATTTAGTTATATTGGTCTTGATATGTTTATGCAAGTACATTGTTCATGAAAGTTTGATGATTAAATCGCGGATGGTACGTGAAACACATTTTCAAATTTAGTATCGTGATTAGATGTTCATGCATATGTGTACACACTGACTCACGAAAGTTTCTGAACATTGATCGTAGAAAATTTTCGTGACTGTATTGCATGTGTTTCGTGAAACATTTTGAAATTTCATTGGCACTGAAAAACGTCACGATATTTGTGAAATTACGGATGTTTGTGAAAATATAAATTACTTTATATTGTATGTGTATATTATTCAAGAAATAGAGAGTACTTTCTTCTCCTAAATGAATTATAATGAATGCAGTACTTCGAGTATTTTATGTATTTTTACATATAAAGTGCTCTCTGTTCATTTTTCTATTTCTAAAGTTTTTATAAATATTAATCTGAAAATGCTAATAAACTTCAATATTCAGTTAGACTATGTTTAACATTGCGTTAACTAATCTTTTCATTTAAACTAAAGTCATTACTGTTTGCAATAAATATTGTATAAATGTTAAATTCGCTATGTATTGATTATTTGCTCATATACGATGTATCGTTTATTAATATAATACATAATTGGCTTTGATCTCTAAATACTTTAATAATCTCCATACATCTTTAAATGTCATCTATAATAATTTCATTTATTATGATAATTGCAAATGTAATAATTATAATATATTGTAATAATTACAAATTATGTTATAATAATCGTTATTTATAATTATAATAATTTCATCTAGTATAATTGTATTTCATATATATTCTTAATTGTGATCAGAAAAAATATCGTATGAAAATTCACAGTCTACGTACTCATGTACATCGTACAAAAATAAGGAAATACAGGAATTGTTACAATGTTTAATGGAAAAAGAAATAAATCTGTGTTTCAGTTACGTACGTAAAAATGTGAATTTTCATAAATGTTCACGGTCCAAGAATGACAGATATTCTTTTGGTTATCCGCAACAATGCACGCGTTCGCGAACACGTATTGAATATCGAGCAACAGAGTTTCGTTACAACTGTCCGCTCTGTGCATCGTTCTCGTTAACTTCGTCGTGAACAATAACTTCTTTTACCAAAGAAACGACAGTATTGTTCCACGAATATTTTTCCTTGTCATTTTATCGTTCCGAAGTTGGAAGTTCTCAGTCGGTGTTTCATATTTATTTTATCAGAACGAACCGAAATTAATAAATTCTGTTTGAATTATTTCGCAAACGTCGATTGTTAGAAGCAGACGGGCATTTGATGAAATTGTTAATCAAGTTTATTAAGTTTTGTTAAGTGCAAAACGATACAGACGGTGTCTTTTTACAGTGGTCATTGCATTTTCTGCAAACTTTTATTAAATACCAAATGTTTATGAATATTTTCAAAGTTAATATTTTCTAAGTAATCGTATATATGTTATTTATATTCACGAAGGAACACATAAATTTCAAAAATCTATATTCTGTTCATTCTAGGTCGAATGAATATTTATTCGCAAAATAATTTTGTTTCGATGAAAATACTACCCCCGCTTAAAAGTCTTTGAACGAGCATGTAATGCTTACATCTATTACAAAATTAGAGAAATTAGATACTTTGTAAAATACACACGCAATTTAAAGAATGATAAATATTAAATATTGAAAGCAAGAAGTGTTTCAAACTTCAGCGTGCATAGGAAATATATATTAAAAATTAAAATCTGCTGATTTAATAAGTACGCGTTTCGCGTTATCCTCTATCGAGAAAAGATAATATTTTTACGCGAAACGATACAATATGTTCGTCGATAGACAGGTGAAACTGTCCAAGCAGATGTTTTCATTGCCTATCACAGGACAGAGATATTGCATTAATATTCACGATCAGTCTGCGATGATTTCGATCAGTTATTATACACTTATCTACCCTACTTCCAACAAGGCAAATTTGTCTATAAATCGAACCGGGAATTTACATTATTAGTATTATTACATTTTGTTTCAGTGACCAGCTTTTTAATTAATATGTAGCGTTTCTTTTTCGAATTGGATATATCGAGAGTGTTAATATTTATGGAATAAGAATTCAGATTAATATTTTAAATTAGGCTACTGTAATTAAATTATATAGTAAATTATTATGGTGAGTTATAAAATTTAACAAAATTGATCATTATTCTTAATTTTATTCAGTTTTACTATAATCTGCTATAATTTTAAATTCAATTTTTCTACAATAAAATAATAAGTAAAATTAAATTTTTAATTTTTCTGTAGTAAACTGTTATAATAATTTAATACAGTTATCTATAACCTAATGAAACACTATTTTAAAACACCAAGAACTCTGATATTTTTATAGAATTGCTTCAAAACAATAGCTAGTGCGGTAGCTTATAAGAAAAGAAATTATTATTAGTTCTAGCAGTTTAGCACGTTCATCTACTATGATGGTGCACGGTCGTGCGTTGTTATCATCTAAAAGAAGAAAAATACACCCTTGTGACTATTCCTCCAGCTTTCCCGATCGTTTTATAACATAATTTCAACCGCGAGATTTTTATCTATTCTATTACACCGCAGCTACACTGTCGAAGATTTCATTTTTGTATTTTACTCGAGACATTGCACGAAAAATGTACAATGTACATAAATTACGATAGTCAATCCTTCAAGATCCATCTCTTTAACATTACGTTCGCATACACATAACACGTATAATTTCTTACATACGTATACAAAAGTTGAAGTTTTTTTTCGTAAAATTTATAAATATTCGCGGAATAGTAAAATAAAGAGATAATATGATAAAAAAGAGTAGAATGACGGAATAAAAAAAGCTGTTTTTTTTATACTGAGTTTCTCGAAATTCAGTGAGCCCTTAAGGGATTGAAGCGTGTACACTAACGATAGTACACCACGAGAAAAAAAAGTTAGAAATCGCGCATTCGTTATACGAAACATTTTCTCCAGCTGAATGAAACGAAACGAAGCAAATTCCTAATAGGAGATAGTTTTTCTACGAACGAGGATTCTACCTTACATTCGTAGAATCCAATTAAATGAAAGTTTATAAAACATTCTGAATTCAGCGTAAGTTACACGTATAAAAACTTGGTTTACGGAAGTTTTTATCGAATTTTGCCAGTTTCACAGGTTGATAACATTTTATACGCGACAGAATGATGAAAAATCAACGTTTGCTTCAGGTGATTTTCTCTCTTTCTGTCTCTCTCTTAATAAAGCACAGTTCTCTTCTTATCGAAGAAATTGTGCAGTGACGGATCAAGCTTGATGACGAAGAGAAGCCGCAGGCGGCTTTAAACGAGAATCCTTATTTACTGGCTTCACCCAGGAACGCAGGTTATCGCTGAAGATCCTGTTTATCATCGAAACGGAAGTTTAAGCGGTTGGTCAGATCGATTTTCACTGAACTATTAGCACAGACGAGGTATATGAAGTAGAGCCAATGCAATGTACGTATCTTTTTGAGGACTTTGGCACCTTACTATTTTCATGTCGCATTTTGTACTGATTCAAACAGGTTTTGCACCTCAGCATTACTACTTATGATAGAATTAAAATTAAAAAATGTGGATAGTATGTACTGCCACATCTGGTCCGAGAATTATTTATTTATTGGATTGAAAAATATAACGATTTGGGACAACGATTGATGGAAACTGAGACGAAAGATTTATTACATATTTGATTATTTATATCTATCTGAAAGTATTAGTAAAAATCGATTAATATATGATATTTTCATGAGCAATATAATTAGATATGAATTAAATATGGTGTTTTTTTTTTTTTACTTATTTTAGTGTGCAGTGTATTTCATAATCTGAATGCTCGATTTTGTAAAAGATTGGAGACATATCAAAGAGATGTTTCTACAAATATTGTTTGGTACATTATGGGAGGTAAATTATTTTTTACAGACTGTAAATGAAAGAGTTGTTCTTTTTTCTTAATTTTCTTAATTTCAAAGATCATGTCTCTTAAGTATTATCACGTAAAGTGTACTGAGTTTTTCTTCTTTGTTGGTATTTCAGAGCATGAGAGACGAAGTCCCATAAGATATAATTTATTCATATAATTTGTGACTGTAAGCTACCACTGTACGAATTATAGTTTCGTATTTGATTTTTTTTTTTTCATTTTATTAACAATGACTATTTAATAACAGTAGGAAATATACAAAAAAGGAAAGAGAAATTAATAATAAGAAATGAAGAGAAATAGTGTTCGACGATTTAACCGTAATATTGATGAACAGTCGTTAAATTGATATTGAATTATTGATTTAAGTATTCATAAATATTATCAATAATAAATATATTATTAATGCAATATATATATCAATAAATATTCATAGCAGGACATAATATTATATTAAATTATTATTGGTAAAACAATAATATTATATTAAATTATTATTGTTTTTAGATTGTGTGTTTTCTGGTATATAACATAGAGCACAAGTAAATACAATAGATATATACACGTAGATACAATATAATAGGTTCATTCTGATTATACTTACAGTTAGACGTACTTTTCTCTCTTTAGTAGTTTCATACACGTACAAACGATAACTTGTTCTCCTCTCTATAATAACTTGCACTAGATCACATTGAAACGTGCACAAAGCGCAAATCGCACTATTATAAAATTTAACATTGCCTTGTGGAAAGAACTATCGTTTCATATTTCAGCGAAACCACAAATACGTAAGAAACTCCAAATACGAGATAAAAATATGTGATAAAATGAATACACACACGATTATATTATGTCTTTACATAAATACTTAACCTACAAAGTTTTAATGCGCGATTATATAATTAATAACTAAAAATACTGGACTGTAAGTACGTTTAATAGAACAATAATAATAAACTCAAGCTAGTAAACACCGACTAACTAGTAAATATACAAAGTGTAAAATATACACGATATAATGATCATCACTTACGTTGCGCGTAAATTTTCCGCCGCGTTTGAAATGTTCGCAAAGCGCGCCACGATGCGCGCGCTCCCGGGCGGCTGACGCGCGAACTACGAACAACCGTCAGCGCGATCTGCAAGCGCATCGTGGTTGACATGCAAGTTCAATCGTCTGCTTGCGATGCTTTAGTTAACCTAAACGATTCGTTGGTGGACACTTGTTACGTTAAAGCGTTAAATCGCAACCACGCGATGGACGACAAGTCTGGAGGGTTGAAAACGAACGAGCAGATCATAGAGGAGCTCACGAGAGATCTAGAAAGTTCTTGCATCAGAGTGGACGATGACGCTGCGTCGAACGACGTTGTCGGGGATTCGGTTACAAAAAGTGGTGAGCTTTCGGACAATTATTGCGAACGTGTGAGAACAAACGGTGACAATGCTGACAGGTGTGAAATGGAAGGTAAGGGCGATACAAATATTCCCAAGGACTTCGTGGACGAAGACTCGTTGAAAGACAGAGAACTAACCCTCTCCGAGGATGAGAAAGAGGTCTGTGGTTGTTTATAAGGTTGTTCATAACCTTTATGGAATTGTAAGTAGTAGTTAATGCCTATTACTGTATCTATTAATGTACATTCCAGGCTCTTAAAGCAGAAGCAGAGAAATATAAAGATAAAGGGAATGATCTTTTCAAACGGGAAGAATACCAAGAGGCAATATCTGTGTATACGCAAGGATTACAAACTTGTCCGTTGGCTTACAACAAAGAGAGATCCATTCTGTATGGTAACAGGGCTGCTGCAAAGTTAAAATGTCTGGTAATGCCATCATTTAAAGACTATTATTCTAAACGTACGAAAGAATTAACAATTTTTTCAAATGAACTCTACTATTTATACCGTGCTGATTAAGTAGGACAGAGAATCTGCTATATCTGACTGCACTAAGGCTATAGAATTAAATCCAGACTATGTGAAAGTGTATGTTAGAAGAGCAAGACTGTACGAAGAGACAGATAAACTAGACGAAGCTTTGGAAGACTACAAGAAGATCTTAACATTTGATGCTGGTCACATAGAGGCAAATCATGCCACTAGGGTAATTACATAAACGTATCTTCTTCATTTTTAATGATTTGTGATGTTAATACAATTAAATGTTTCAACAGAGATTACCTCCATTGATTCACGAAAGGAATGAGAAACTAAAAGCAGAAATGCTTGGCAAACTGAAGGATTTGGGAAATATGGTATTGAAACCCTTTGGGCTTTCCACGAATAACTTTGAACTGCAAAAGGATCCGAATAGCGGTGGTTATTCTGTCAAGTTCCATCAAAATCCTAGTTAATAAATTGTGTGGATCTCGTGTCGCGGAATATTTATACATACCTTATGTAAATTCTGCTCGAATGCTGTGTGCTTGTAATAAAAATACATTATGACAGAAAGATATATTAAAACATTGAAGATTATATATACGAGAAACGTGAAATCGTGAAATCTCATTGTTCATTTTTACTACGGTACGAAGTTAGCTTTTTTCACTATCTCTTAATATTTTCATAAGTTTCGTTTGAAAATGTACGATTTTCACGACTGATTGTCGATTGCAGCGGAAGACTTGCCAATTACAAACGGTAAGTATACGTTTGTGAGTTCGTCACAAGCAACGAAATAATTGCTTGTCAAATCATTAACCCGTCAGATTTTTTATATGCTAATTTTATTTACAATTGCATATCGTTTGTTGCATTGTTGATTCAGAGTCTCCTTGGTATCCACTGCAGCTCGTGTTTCGATCGATAACCGAATGGTTAATAAATATATCAGCGAATTGTTTGCAAGAGAACACTGAGATGTTCGTCAAAAATTGAGACTTCATGAAATAAATTTCTTCATTGGTGTGTTTAACATCTATCCTTGGACCTCAGCAACGTCATAGGATTTAGATAGTATTGATTACACATATATGGCCTAATATAAACGATCCTGTTACATACAAGTTCAACAAACTATAGGCAAGGAACTATTTTTATCTTGCATAATCGAAAGTGAACGAATGAACGACCTTAAAGTGTTGCAGGTGCAACGAACGACCGCGAATAGAAAGAAACAAGCCGGATGGATTGTTCGTATAGCCTGTTACGTTTCTATCGCTTCCCATTCTTTCAGTTCGGTATTTTTACCTTTGAATATACCCTCTTTTTCTATTCTATCTTTGATATTCGCATACTTCTTTCCATATCTCATACATTCTACGGGTACATTACGGATGATTATGCATCTATAGAAAATTAAAATTAATTTGCAAGAATATATAAAATATCCAAAGTAAAGCGGCTATAACATTTGATGAACAGCAATATCTCTATTCAAATTCCGTTTCTCTACTTTATATACATTTATAAAAATATACAGTAGCTATTTTTTTTTATTAGACCGCAGTGTAGACTATAGTTATTCCTGTACATTCATATTTTATAAACACATCTAAAGAAATAGAACTTCAGCTCGTAACGAGTACTGTACTGTGGGTATTCGATATGTAATCCACGTTTCATTCATTTCTGCGTTTAAATTTGCCAAAGATGCGTACGAATCCGCAATCTGCCAATTAATTACCATTAATTCGTTCGGTCTTCATTCTTGCGGTCCACAATGAATCGAATTGTGACGTCGTGGCCGCGCAAGCGTACTCACGCGAAATACTCGGGCATCAGAGAGCTTGCGAACAAAGGAAAAAGAGATAAGAGGGGTGTGTGTGCACATTTGATAGAATACGTAGGAGGGTGGTTCTCGCGTGCTTGCGGGCGCGTGCGCGCGTGTAGGTGGAACCTACATAGGTATATAGGGAGCAAACGAGGAAGAAAGCAGTATCAAAGGGTTGGGGGGAGGGGAGGGGGGGGGGGTAGTGGCGACGTTGGCGGTGGTACGCGAGGAGAAGAGGTGCGAAAAGAGGCTTCATTCGCGAGCAGCGTATGAACGCAACGAAACAGGCGGCCGGAGTCGGGCGACAAACGATAAACGTTGTGTCGGTATGTGCGAGCGGAGATCATTAAAAGCTAGATACTCGCGTTTACGGTCTGTCACATGCGTACTACATACATACGTCCTACATTGAAAGTGTACTGTTAAATTACCACTAGTCCAAGATAAATTAGAAACGAACGCAAGATAAACGACGAAGAAATTGAAGAGGAAGGTCTATCTGAGTGAATGTAAAGGACGGTGACAGAGGAACGAGCGAAGAGCAAAGAGAAACAGAGAGAAGGAGGGATGTGAGAGCACCGTGGGGTGGACGTTGAAGGCACGAGGATGGCCGTGACGTCGATGAGAGGACACAACGACATCGGACGTCGTATTAACTCGAGGGTGGCTCAGTAAGCACGACACCTACGTAACCAAGAAGACGACGCCTACGTACCGCGCAAACACGCCGGGAACGCATCGTGACCGACAGTTTTTATGTAAATCAATAATTCGAGCACGACGAAGCTTTGCCTGTTATTTCGTAGAAATATCGGACGTTGTCGTGTTGCCGAATAACGAGCGGCAACGATAAAACCGGGTGACGTCGACGGTAGCGAGCGGTCGACACTCGATAACGAGTTTTTATCTCGATAGAAACTCGTTGGCCACAGACGTTGGTCGAGCGTGGAGCAGAGCAAGGGGTATCGTCGTTGATTCGTCTTTCGCGTGCCAATAATCGGCGGTGATCCGCGTACGTGTTTCGAATTGCACGGAGGAGAGGGTGGCGTCGAGCTCGCTGGTGCATAATGTGCAACGTTTCCGAGAAAGGGGTAAGTCGGACTGCCATACATACGCACGTCGATTCGTATGAGCCAACCTACGTTTAACGATCGCTCGAAACCTCGAATTGGGTCACTTTCACTGACAGCTTGCTTTTCCTCGTGCTTTTATAGCCGTACGTGCTAATTGCGGTAAATAAAGTCACTCGTTTCGGTGCTTCCGCCAGTGGAAATAGTTTTAGCAGCAACCGGGCTGCATTGTTGCACGATTTCCACTGCGAGATATGTATACATGTCTCGTCAGAATTGTTTCTTTTTACTATAATCGTTTGGTTTGCTCGTTAATGGGAGACATATCGTATTTAATTATATCATTCTTGTTTAATTTTAAATTAATATCGTTTGTATTTAATCGCACGCTTCGTCAGAATTACTTTTTTATGTTCTATCGTGTGATTATTAAGAGATGTCGTATTTAATCTTTGTTGTAAATCGAACCACCAGTGTTCTTCCTTTTATAATCTAACGCGTAATTTTATGGTTTCCGCGTCATATTTCGCTGCTACATACGCATGCTGTACACACGTTTATAGATATCTGTGTATTTTTTAATTAGAGAGATCATTTAGGAATTTATTACCTAATTGCAGAATTTATACAGTTTATATCTGCCTTCAAAATTGCACAAGCAGAGTGTGGATGTAGTTCTAGTAATTTAAAAATTCGATTCTTCGTTCGTATTGATTTTCGATCGTCACCTATAAAAATAGAACGACCAATGAAAAAGTTGAAACACCTTGAAAAGAATGAAAAGTCTCGAGGCGAAAGTTCAGATATTCGCAGAGGTTTTATTTCGTGGTGACTTTTCACATTTTCATATAGTAGCAATACACGTGGCTGCAAATGACTCGTCGCGTACACAGGAAGAATGAAAAAGTTTTCGCGATAGTTTCGAGGAGAAACGACAGCGAAGAAAAAGAAACGAGAGCTTGACAATAAAATCATTTGGATTAAGAAGTTCGTGCTCGTTGTCGAACAAAAGTGCAAACAATAGAAGCGTATTAATTTCAATATCTTGTTTCTCGCGTCGCTGCTTTCTCGTTTATAGCGAAGGATTATAGAAAATCATTTTCTCTTCGTTTAACTTTCATTTTGAACGGGCATTAATAATCATTATCGTTAATAATTTTAATTACCTGTCTATTGTATTAATAGTATTTATTAATACTGCATTTATTTTTACGTTTATATTTAACATAATGTATTAATAATATCCATTTATCTAAAATTTACTCATTTAATACAATGTCAAAAATTATTTTGCTTACCTCGTAATGATGTTAATGTATATATATATATATATATATATTAGTTCGTAACGTAGTTAATCATATATGTGGTCACGCGTACTACATGCGTGTACGCGTTGCGAATCAGTATATTTCTTACGATCGATACGCGTGCATCGAGATGAAAGGAATTTAATCTTTCGTACATTTTATTTAATACAGAGGTATTCGATACTCGGTAGAGAGACGAAACATTGAATATTATGCACATTATCGGAGTTACATAATGTGATTCATGTAGCAATAAAAAACGAAATTGATCGCGTAAATGACAAAAGAATACTTTTAGTACTAACCGAAGCTGCAGTGTGTTTTAGAATTTAGCAATACAACAAATTAATCATCGATTTAGCAAAGTAATTCAGTTTTCTTCTGCATGCGTTCATATTTATTATCAAACCGCGAATGTTTATGTACTTATAAGAAACTTAACATGATGATTAAAGTATAAAATTTACATTAGAGGAATAAGTTTATAATACAATGTTTTATTCATATACAGTGGCGGATAAAAGAAAGCTTAAACTATGATCCATATTGATCCATAATTTTACAAAATGCAATTACATTTAATAAAAGGAATAAGTAGATAATAATATACATCGCGGACAACTGCTAATTAATAAAAAGAATATTCAACATGAAAGTTATAATAATTATCTACATTATAATATATGATTTTTAAGGTCATGTAGACTATAGAAAACTTGCTTTTATTCGCTGTATATTTTACGAAAAATTATTGAAATCTGCAAAAATGTACTGTCATGCATTTATAAAATTTCTAGAGAAAAATTATGATTTAATCTCTCATTTTGATTTGATAGTTCTAATATTAAAAATGCAAAGATGCACAAAATCAGTTTCAATTTGACTGCAAATGTTTATAGTACGTATTTTAGGAATATTTAAGAGTGCAACAATCCATAGACTACGTACAATAATCAAGAATATGTAAAATATCCAAACTATTTATATAATATCAAGTTAATGAATGAAACAGATCTCTATTGAGATTTACTTTTTTAAATCCTTAGTGGCTGAATCTTAGGAAACTGTGTCAAGAAGGAACATTTTTTTCTAATTTTACCCTGTAACTGTTAAATTCTAAACTTCTACGTTCATGTAATAAAAAATAAATATTGTACGTAATATAATAAAAAATTATAAAATCGTGCTAATTAAATTACGTAGTAGCAATATTACATCCGATACAATAAACGTAATATTATAAAAATGGCCTTTAAGGCGTTAACTATTAAAGAGAATATGCACAATCATTCGCAATCCATTTGTCATGTATTTAAATGTAAAATAAAATTGTACACTTGCATCAGTCGTGATTGTAACGTTAAATATATTTCAGTTGAAGACGATGAAGCGAATCCACTTGGAAAGTAATTCGCGGCGTAGAAGATGGTCACTGAGATTCGGTCTTTTTCTCGTGTACATATTGGTCCAGTACGTTACTTGCGCGAAACTACCCGAAGAGGTAACGTCTCCTTATCTAAGTTCCACGGAACGCGAGGAGAATTGGACGACAGAGTCCACCGGGGAACCGTTCACATCTCAGATCGAGGTGAACGTCGAACCACGAGCAAATGAAAAGGGGGAAAGTGGCGTGGCGAAAGAGAAGAATGAAAAGGACGAAAAGAATGAGAAGAGCCAGAAGAGCGAAAAGACCGAGAAACCCGAGAAGACCGAATTGAAGAACAAAAGTGAAGAGAAGAAGAACGAAACTCAACAACAGAATGAAAAGAAGATATCCGAGGAAGAGAAGTCGAAGAATATACGTGGACAGTCACAGAATGTTCCTAGAACCACAACGGTGAGACGCGACTTTTATTTATTGAATTGTTTAGTTCCGTTTTTATACTCTGACGTTGTCGCTTTGACAATAATTGCTCATGGTGCTCGAAAAAGATGTATCATGTAAAATGAATATTTATGAATCGCTGGAATATTGCTGCAAGATAAGAATAGATAAAGAATATTTATAACACGTTATTTAACTACTTTTAGTATAATTTAATCTATCTAGGTTCTATAATTTCGAGTATTTATGGGATTATAATAAATTACTGCTTGATCCTTAATGTGAACCTCTATTCTTCGAATATCTTAATATTACCAGACTCAGATCATTCGAATATTAAGACATTGAATAATAAGGGCGATGCATTAAATTATTAGGAAATTTCTCTCTTACGTCAACGATATCTTAAATGTCATCTAATGACACGAAAATTTAATGTCAGGTGACTTAATTTTGAAAATAGAGAGTCAATGTAATCGTTCGAATTTGATTGTGACGCGTATAAGAGATGTTGGTTATTTGAGATTCTAGGTTCCAACAACGACCACTATAAGATATGAACGTGCAACGTGGAGACCGCGAAGAGAAAATTGCTCACCTCCAGCGATCGAACAGTTCCCACGACCGGTGATGGGCCCGTCAGCTAGGAAACACGGTGGACTGATTATTCATATTTTGGTTGCAATTTACACGTTCCTGGGCCTCGCCATTGTTTGCGACGATTACTTCGTTTCCAGTTTGGACCGAATTTGCGAAGGTAAAGTCAGACACATTCGAAGAAAATTCTTTTCCGTTTCGAGATAACAAGACAGATTTTTTTACACTTGTATACACTGAGCAAACACACCTCTCAATACAAAATGATATGAATTATACAGAAAATTCTTCGTCGCTAAGTTTGCAAAAGGAAGTTAATTAAAAATTAACAAACAATCTTAATCTTCTCTGTGATAGAACTACGATTGTCTCCGGATGTTGCTGGAGCAACTTTCATGGCCGCAGGTTCGTCAGCTCCAGAATTGGCAACCGTGGTGATCGGTGTCTTCTTTGCCAAGGATGATATCGGTGTAAGTATCATGTACAGAGTCACGAATTGTTCTGATCAAAAGTTCACATCGAACGGACATATGTGTGTAATTAAGTTTCGATGGTATTTTGGTAATATCAGTAATTGTGTTTCGGAGAATATTGTGCAGCGAGTTGCTGTTGCAGGTGAGCGGTGTGATCGGGAGCGCGGTGTTCAATATAATGTTCGTGATATCGGTGTGCGGATTGTGTACGACGACAGTGTCAAAGTTGAATTGGTGGCCCCTTTGCCGGGATTGTTTTTTCTACGCTGTATCGATTCTAGTGATGCTCGGTACAATTTACAACGAATCAATATCATGGTAAGAGAGGCTTGTTATCGAGATTCTTGTTATGATATATAGTTAGCCATCAAAGTCTTCGTATATCTTACAAGAAGTCTTTTCCTATATATAAATAAGGTAATATAAGTCTTTCAAATTGAACCAAGTCAGTCTTTATTAATTCTTTATTTTTGTTTCTGCATTCTAATAATCTGAAGAAAAGGGAAATCACTCTCTTCGCAAAGAAATTATATGAATAACAGTAAATTATGAATTTCATAACTGTAAATTTAAAAAATTTTTGAAAATATTTTTCTAGTTTTCAATTTTCGATGTGGGAGGTTTTTGAGTGGTTCGATAATATTCTACAATAACGTACATTTAATAATAGAACAATCATGTTAATATAAAATACGCAAACTTTTCACTGAACTTTCATTTTGATGTAATACAATGAATTTTATTTTTTATTTTAAAATATAATTATCACATTGTCGATTTTCATTGTACTTTTTACAGGATGGAATCTCTATTCATGTTGATCATGTATGGTGTGTACTGCGTTGCTTTATCTTTCAACGCTAGACTGGAACGTTGGGCGAAATCGTACAATATACCTTTTCTACCAAAAGACGATGAACCTGCAGAAGAGAGCGCTCTCGTTAGTTATAGATCGTTACAAGAGGATCGATTGTCTTACACAGGGCCGAGTTCACCTACGGATCAATATAAAACGCAAGAAGGTAAGTATCATCATTAAGTATAATCATTATCAGACACCTATAAAATACAAATTTCATTTCTAGTTTATTCTGATCTTTATAAAAAGAAAAAATTATAAGTACATTACATGCATACAAACTAGTCTTACTTATATTTAGTAAGATTCTCTATCCTAATTTTGATAAGAAGAGAAATATAAAAATAAATCGTCTATTAAAAGTGAATATATATATATATATATATATATATATATATATATATATATATATATATCAAGTCTGAAATAAATATGTAGATCATATGTTATAATTTACTACATAAAAATTATATTTCATGAGTAAACGTGATAAATACAGTGTTGCTTGATGTAACAGGAGGAGCAGCACCAGGAGGACCAAACGTTCCTGAAACGAACGAACCACCACCACCAAAGCAACCGGAGTATTACAAAGCAAAAGAACCAGATCCAAATGAAGTATCGCCGCTAGAAAAGCCTACTGATGGTAGCAAGTGGACTCTATTTACCTGGGGTCTCGTTTATCCGATTCATTTCATGTGTCGTGCTACAATGCCAGATTGTCGACAAGACAAATTCAGGAATTGGTATCCCTTTACTTTTTGCGTGTCGATGGTTTGGATCAGTTTCTACAGCTACATCATGGTGTGGATGATTACGATCATAGGTAAGAGACAGCGGTAATAATGACGATTTGAAATATTTCCAAAGAATTACCTTCATAGTGGATTTTAATCGAACAATCGAGTCGATCAATCGTTTTGCAATTTATAAAAATAAATGACTCGTAGAATGTTATTTTCTTTGTAATTGAATTGTTCACTGTTGTGCAAGAGAATTTATTAGCACTGGTAACTTGTAAAATTTTGTTAAATGATGATCGTCAAAGTTAGGAGATTGAAAATTTAATTAACGACCGTTTGTAGTTGTAAATATTTTAAGCATCCCTTTTTTAAATATAGGCTACCAGCTCCTTCTGGCTTTAGGTTTAGTGTAAATTAAATTTGATAAATTTAATCGTTAGATTGAATGTGAATTTTTGCTGAAGTTTTATTTTCACTGTAATTAATATGGTTCCTTATCTTCTTCCTTGTTGTTCATTATTCTTCAACGAAAAATTTAATTTCTCGTAGGTAGCACGCTTGGTATACCCGACACGGTGATGGGTTTGACGTTCGTTGCTGCTGGTGTCAGTGTACCTGACGCTCTTTCATCGTTAGCCGTGATAAAAGAAGGCCTTGGTGACATGGCAGTTAGCAACGCTGTCGGTAGTAATGTCTTCGATATACTAGTTTGCCTCGGGCTTCCATGGTTTATACAAACTGCAATGATACAGCCCGGCTCCCACGTGAACGTCACCAGTCGAGGTAAGATCAAGGATCAAGGATCTTTATCAAGTATAAATTATTAGAATTACTGCGAATATTCATAGAAAAACTATTAAATAGAAATTTTATTCAATGCTTAATATAAAAACTGATATTTGTCTATCTTCTACATAACTGAAGAAACTAAAATTATCGTAAAAAGACAAACGGATTGCAAACAGAAATTTTAAATTAATACTTTATTTAATGATTTTAATTAATACTTCATTGATACAAAGTTGTTTCTTCACAAGACAGTTATCTATGTAATTAAAGAAATTTAAAGAATGGAATTTAGATAGAAAATTTAATTATTGATAAAATTTAATACATGATATGACGTACAAATTTGTCATGTTTCTTCTTTCTATATCTTCAAATTTCAATAACACTTTTCATACTCTTTTTGTATGTGACTTTTACATAAGTATTCGTAGTTTAGAAGATACCAATTAAAACTCGAATTTTCCTTGTTTTATTATTGCATTGCCAGGCCTGACGTACTCGACGGTGTCTCTACTGTCAACGGTGGTATTCTTGGTCCTAGCGACTCATTTGAACGGCTGGAAACTGGATCGACGATACGGAGTAATACTGATGATCTGGTACTTAGTGTTCATCGTATTTGCTTCGCTCTACGAGTTAAATGTCTTTGGTGAAATGAATCCTCCGGTATGCTTCAGCGCGTTTTAAACGAACGCCACTCAGTTATATATAGACTGACGAGGAAAATGAAATATGATGGAAGAAGTTTAAAAGGAGGAGCAGTGAGAGAGAATGAAAGAGAGAGAGAGAATGCGTATGTGTAAGTACCCGACTGAATGTTCTCGTTGAACTCGATCTCATTGCATTGTGCTTCAAAGCACGATAAAAGATTGTCCGAAGACTCTTTTATAATTTTTTCCGTTTTTTCTTCCATTCTTCGTCTTGTTTCTTCTTCTTTTTCTTCCTTCTTCTCTTACCTTAGCTTATAGCCCTATTCTAATTTCCACATCTAAATCTAACTTTCAAGAAAAAGTGAGGAAGATTGGCAGAGGAATGAGAAAAAAAGATAACAAGACTCCAGTTCGATCAGCGTTTTCTTAATCTTTTGTTTTGCTACGGATTCTCTTCAAATAATTTTGGAAAGAAATTAGAATTATTATTTATTATTTATCTGTTTGAGTATAGCGGGTCTTTACTTTTTATTAACATTTCTTTTCATTTAAATCTAAATTTGTATTATTATTATTTTTTTCAATAATTTCGCTTTTTCGTCGATTGTTCGAGGATTATTTTGTTCGTTGGAAAAGATTAAGAAGCACTGCGTCGAACATGATCCGTGTTCTCACTTCTCGAGCCAAATTCGACTCCTACTTTCTCACGTTGCGTAAATTTTCCTTCCAACGAAACATCGATCAATTTAACAGTAGATGTTTCGCTACGAATATAATATTTCGCTTCCACTCGTTGTTTGTGTAGTATCGATCGAGCCTTCTTTCTATAAAAATGAAAAAAAAAAAAGAAAACAGAATGGAAAGAAGCGTCGTAAAAGGGCATCGGAAAATCGTGTTCGCGGAATTTGTACGTGTTCGAAATTGTTTAAATGGACAATATATTTATCAGTATTAGCAAAAAAAAAGAAAAAAAAAAAAACGATAACGTTGTTAAATATTACACGATTTAGAAAATAATAATGAGACGATTGATCAATCGAATCAAGTCGTCGTGCTTTCTTTCGAATGAATAGACGCGCCAGATGCCACAGACTGAAGACTCGAGACAATCGTTTTCGTTACTTAACCCTCCGTGTCTAATCTGAGTGAAATTTCAATTCGACAACTCTTCAAAGTTGGGAAAACTTCATTTGAAATAAATGTAAAAACTATTGAGATAACGAATCATTTCTCACTAATTTATTATTCTTATTTGAAAAATGACTTCATCTTGGATTCAATCAGTCAAGTAAATCATTTGTAAATAATCTTTCGTTTGAGTTGATTTATCGAAATAACAAATCACAAGTAATTCCAGCAGAAGATAAAATTTATAGAATTTAAACTATTTGAAAAATTATTTGTAGAAATATAATGTACAGAATGTTTTTTGTTTCATCTTTTTTATTCGTACGAGCTCATTGTAAAGTATATAATAGCAAGGGTTTAATTAAATAATGCAATATTTTTGTACATTTTCTGAAAGTTTAGGACACTAAAAAAAAAGATAAATAATTAACAACTCATGTACGATAATATGCTTCTCAACGGAGGGTTAAGTATTTGTCTTTTCTATTCAGTCTTTGCTCTTTCAATATTGCTCTCTGTTCAATGTTACTCTGTTATTTGACTCTTCCTATTCTACTAGTAATACCGTCGTACTTTCCAATTGAAAGTTGCTACACTTCTGCTTCCTCTTTACGTGAAAATGGCCGCGTTTTAAATATTGCTCGACATCGATATCGAGTCAATTTTTTCGTGTATGATCATTCGTCCGTCCGTGCGTTCGTCAGATTCATTTGTCGATTCGTATCTGTCGTTTTTCTTCCTCGATACGTAGCATAGCATATATATACGTGGATAATTATTTTTTAGTCGAAGTGATTGCTCCCTTGATTCTGATCACGCACATATACATTTTCTGTATGTACATGTGTATGTCGATCTTTTTCAAACGGTCCTATTTGAAATCGGGGAAATTAATTTTACAGCAACGCAACGTTTTTTGAAAGATTTTTCTGATTAACGCGTCGGTGAACAGCGAATTAGCGTATCGAGATACGAAAGATGTTAAGAAAGAATAACATAACACACAGTAGAGTCTTCTGTATTCAAACAGAAAGACAAAAGTGTTCGTTTAATCGAGTTTTTTCACCCTTGTCATTAAATTATGACATGTTACTTTAATACAGTTGGAAATTAAAATACTCTTTTCGTAATATATGAATTTCTGTTATATCGAATCTAATGAAATAACTCTGTTTATGCTTCAAGCTCTCATCATTTTCATTTGTTTCACTTTGTGAAAAAATCATAAATGATTTATCATTGGAATTAAATCTTTTTAGTAAAATCTTGTATCATATTTTGCAATTGCGAAAAACAACGTAAATTAATTCAGTGCAAGCAAAGCTGGTTAATAAACATTTTGTTCGAATAACGGAATGTTCGGACATGAGATTATTCGGATAACGAGAGTTTGGATATGACGATTTCTATTTCGATTTTTCTCTTTTCTTTTGAACGATCGTTTACCTGTGGCCTAACGCGTTTCACGAAAGTCATGAAAGTACGTTTTAAATTAAATTCAATCCGTCTCTTACGAAAGAAGATCTCTCTATTGAGTCTGCAATATTTGGAGGAACTAGTACGAAGCGCTTTATTGATCAGACGAGTAGAATTAGCATATAATAGCTCAGACGCGACACGACGGGACGCGAAAGCCTCGTTTCCTTCCAGACGAAAATCATAAATAATACGAGAGAGAATCGTATAAACGTCGACTTAACTAGCCGTGTCCGAATCGAAATTTACAATCCACCGTTGTTTTCCTCGCCTGGCTATCCGCACCATTCGTCTTCGCTATCTACCGGCCTTTTTACCGAGAACTTTTTTACCGAGAAATTTATTCGACAAGTTAAATACGTTGTTTCTTACGCGCATTCCTTTCTCGCACTATTATCTCTTTTCTTTCACCTTTCAACGTCCTGATAAAATACGAAACGGTAAAAGTCGTTGTTATCTCTAAGCGAAATTAAACGTTTGTCGGACGAAATGGATCGTAGGTGAGGGAGAAGCGAGTTAAGCGTATTTTCATTAATCCATTAAGGAGCAAGCAGTAATTTATATCATAATGTTACAAACATCTCAATTTTGTTTGAATTTCGTAAAATTAAAGGAACCAAGCGGAGGACATAATGACAAAGACTTTGGACTTTCTTTTGTACAGTTCGAATATTAAAGAAGTAGAATTTGATAATATAATCTGATTTAAAAGAGTAGCAAATGAAGTTGGTTCTTAATGGGTTAAAAAAATTGTCGGTTGCAACTAGAAGAAAGTTTGTTCTCGAACGAATTATGTATGATTCGCGTGTGCGTGAATCGAGGCTACGTAAAAGATAAAAAATGAAAGCAAAGAATTGGTTTGAAGAGAGCAAGAGAGAGAGAGAGAGAGAGAGAGAGAGTAAGTAAAATCGTAGTCGACGAAAGAAGGTGAAAGAGACAGAAGGATACACTTTCAACGAGTACGAGACACGATAACAAAAGAGACAATAATTAATGCAGCCTTATCCGATGAAAGTATCTACAACGTTACTCTGCGCGATCGTTGAGATCAGCGTGTAAAATGGATAGCGTGTTCGGTATTCTTCCGTTTCCCCCGAAACGTGTCGATCCGTCTGTTGCGTGGCCATTTTGCAAAGGCGATCGACCAAAGTTTCCAATCTGTTACAACATCACGATAATATTCTGCGTAGTCGCTGAGCGAAGAGCGGACCGCCGGTGAATTCCAAAACGACAGGCAAACAGTGATCCGCCAAATAGCTGAGTATTTATTCGTCTGTCTATATTACATAGGTTAGCGTTTCTTTTTTTTCTCGTTTCTTCTTTTTCGTACGTCATACGTTGTACTGTGTGCTGGTGTGCGTGCGCGTGTCCTAAAAGGGAAGGAAACTCGCTGCATTACAACTAATGCAATTGCGTTTGAATTGATATATCGCGGTCCGTCGATAGATCGCAAAGATCGCGCAGGCGTTTTAGCGTAAACTTAACGCGCATGTCTGTGTGTACATGCATGCTCCATTGCGTACGTATGCGTATATACGCGCGCACACGCGTGTATCGTACAATTACGTATTATACATATATATATAGCTGTAGCGATATATATATATATATACATACGATACATGCGAAAGCTTAGATTTATATAATTATCGAACGTTCTACGTGTTTGTTCACTACCATTATTTGTTACATTGTTAGCGCTTCAGGCGGATACACATTGATATTTACCACTAGCGATACATCGTGAGATATATATATTATACTTACGCCGCTTGATCGATCGATCGATCGAATTGGATTCAAATTACACTTCTATATGTAGAATATATATATATATATACACACATGTGCGGGTGCGTGTAATTTCAACGTAATGCAACCGTTCGTTCGAAATCGTTCGATCGATCGATCAGGATGCAGAGAAATCGACGCGTTTTAACGCACGCGAACACGCGTTGGAAACGCGTTCAAATCGGTCGAAAGTCGAAAGTCGAAAGTCGAAAGTCGAAAGACGTGACGAATCGTGGCTTAGCTTTGACGCGGCGCCGCCATGTTTGGCGCGCGAAACAGTACGCACCGGCGTTTCGTTTGAAAGTGTCACGCTCGTGTCGTTTCGACGAAGGATTGAAGATCAACTCGGACTGCCGAGATCTAACGTGATTCGTGCGCCGAGAATTGAAAAGGGAAAACCGTCTAGCTGAATAATAGCTGATTACCAAGGTGAGAAGCGTAAAAAGTCGTTCGGCCTTTTTCTAGGTTAAGTCTTCGAGAGGGAAACCTTCGCCCCCCCCCCCCCTCACACCTCTTGTAGAATTTTATTTTTCTTCCGTTTTCACATAATCCTCCGTGGATATTCGCGCGATATTCGTGCAACGAACGACGTTCGAAAATTGGTGCAGCTCTCTCTAGTCAATGAAAGATCAATTAGTAGCGTTATTATATCGTAGACACTAGCGTATCGTTAGACACTTTTAGCGTACAACATCGATCAATTCTCCGGTGCCCTTAATAGGCGTAGCTGATACGTTCAAGTCAATATATAGTCGACATACGACTTACTAATTAGACGTTTTACGTGCGTTTGAAAAATCGGATACGTACCCGTCCTTTGCCCCTACCAGTCGTTCACCAATTTTCGAACAGCGGACCAATCGAAAAAAAATCCCGATTCGAAGGTATCTGTCCGATTTCGAACGTCTCGATCAACACCCTTGCGCTGGCAATTGGTTCGCGGACCATAACGAGTGACCGAACCGTATACAACAATTCGTCGCTTTCTGTTTCTTTTGCGCTCGTCGGTATCATAGTCACTGGATAGAAATGATTAAGAAGTAATAGTCTTATCATTTGTTTTGCCTGGGTTATTATTTGAATACACTTGAAACTGAGAAAATGTTGCAATCTGGGACAAATGGTTCTCAACGTGCACGTGGCACGTCATTCCAGCGCAAGAGGTTAACTAGAACGAGACGGAACGACTCTCATTGTTCATCGATATCGATATCGACCCGTCAATGATTCGTTGTTAACTGTTGTGAAACTGTAGATTTTATATCGTGACGTAATATGCATACGCATACATACCTAACGTGCATATATATATACATATATACGTATATGAAGATATATATACATATACACAAACAAATATATTATATACAAACTCTCTATATTTGGCACGTACTATATATACGAGTACATGTTGTACTATGCGTTCAGCTTGATATCGGAGATGTGTAATCTTTCTTCTGCGCGTGTATATTTCTGGTCTTCGTCGAGTCAATACGTCCGTGTACCTGCCATCGACAAGAGGGAACATCCAAGTAAACGTTCAGTCTGCGATCAAGTTCAAGAAAACGACAAACGAACGTGCGCTCGTTCACTGTACAACGGCGTATAATGCAAGTTTGACGCGCGTTTCCTTCGCGCGGCAACGATTTCGTATACTAACGAATAGGTAGGAGTAATAACGTTAGAAAGTGAAAGAGGCGAGCCGAAAACGGGGCACACAGAGAGCGCGGTGTCGTTTCATCGTAACATCGAGAAACGACGACACGTAGTGATTTACCTTACGTAAACGGGTAGCAATCAAGACTCATAGAAACCGCCGTAGCATTTTATACTATATGTACGTAACAGGAACGTGATAACGCGATTAACGTAGAAACGCAGAGTCGTATAATAATTTGTAAGCCGTAGATGTAATATTTCGAAGTTAAGCGAACGATCAACGAACGATAGACGCGTACGCGTTTTCGAGCGAAAAAGTGTCCTCGACCGTCAGCGTGATCGAGAATTTGACTTTGTCTATTGAATATTGAATTGAAAGTATGAGCGGCGCGCTCCCAGACAACGAAAAACGAAAATAAATGTCGAGATGATGTGTCGACACGCGTGAGAGGACGAAGACGCGATGCGCACCTTCGACGAGGGTTAATTCATTAATCGCGAATTCGTGGCCGGACTCAGAATCGGAGCTCCCTCTGTTACATAATAGTTTTTTTTTCTCGTGTTGTTAGAAAGCATTTCCAAGACAGTCCTAAACCGTCAATAAATACGTCTAGTCATAGCTTATTATATTATTACGGCGTTATGTAAAAATCTACCGTTTTACCAATGTCGTAAAGGAATCAATACAAAGTACGGAATATTAAATAAATAAATGGGTAAACGAATGAATTTAGTGGACGAACGAATGGGTTATTTAATAAACGAACAAACTGCGATGCGTAAGTAGAAGAGATAAATGAATTATCGGTCTATATATATATATATATATATATATGTGTGTATATATATATATATATATAGACCGATATATATATATATATAGATAGATAGATATATAGATATGCATATACGCTGTTTGTATACATGCATGCGCATGAATATATATAGAGTAGGAGGATGGGACGAAGAGGGAAATATAGGAAATATTCACTTGTTTATTACAGGATATTCCAACCAATTAATATGTTAATTGTAGTTCGATTCGAGAATAATATGTATTCAAAGTCATACGAACCGCTCAGAAGCTGTATCGATTTAATCCCGTGTAGACTGATGAAACTTCGTTTTTTAGACGTTTAATTTACAAGTTGTTTGTACAACTTATAATTAGTAAAGGGTTAAGTATTTTCGAATTTTTCCGGATTTTTTCGAGAGCCTAGAATGGTAAAGAAATTAGGTGTAGTTAGGCTACGGAAGTTTTAGCTTACAGAAGGTTAAATTTAATTTGAATTTGAATTTATTCAACGGATATAATCCTTTTACAACAATAATATAAAAAAATATATATATATACGTACAGATAATATAAAGCGTACAACCTAGCAATAATAGTAAAATTAAAAAATAAAAAAAAAGGACAATTGTATTGAATGTTACAATTTTTAAGAAAACTCCCTTTGGAATTTATGATTATTCATGTCGTTCTCTGGCAGCAAATAAATCTACAAAAATCAATCGATTTGTTTCTTTCGAGACGGATAACGAAAATTTGAATTGATTTCGGTGATATTATCGACAAATAAAAAATTTATCGGAGGGATCAATTTTTTTTTGGGAATGAAGTAGCTTGGCCTTACGTGTGTACGTCGAATAATTTATCTTTATTCTCTTGGTAAATGAATATACAAAGTTTACATCTAGTTTACTTGCTTATACGATGCATCGAATAATATTGATACGATGTGATGATAATAGTGTCGCTGTTATAATCGCGCGTACCATTTTTCTTTTTCTCTTTGCTCCGTTCGCACGCGTTTCGATCGATCTTTCCTCAAAACGCTTACATAACGACGCAAAACAAAAATCATCGAACACACACATATATATAAATATATATATATATATATATACGATAACTGTCGATCGTTGATTTTTGTTCCCTATTATTTCTGTTCTTCCTCCTCATTTTTCCATTTCGCATTTCGCGTTCTCCAGTCTACGCGATGAGAGTGTTTCGTAGGCCGTCGTATCATTATTAATATTTCATTGAAAGAAATATCACTCGAAAAAGGATGAAACCCAAGAACTGTACAATCACTCTACCGAACAATTAACCTCTCAAGATGACATTTATACACGAACAACAAACCAATCATTGAAACGATAATTAATTTGAATGAGTTCAATTGAATCGTTCCCTCAATTATAACTGTAACTATCAAAATCGTCAGAATGATGGATTTCGAATCGTTCGTTTTGTAATTAACGAAATGCGTGATGCGATGTAAAGAAATGTGAAATAAAACGTATGCGTGTATATTGAACCAGTTTGAGAAGTTAATTGTGTTGCTGGGGTTCTTCAGCAGTGCTCGCTCAAACTTGCTACAGTTGTCTTTTACTTTAATCGTTTCGAATATCCTAAGAGAAACTATCGAAGATATACAATTAAAAGGCAGAACAAGGATTCTTCTCAACTTGGGAAACGTAACGCGATTTCAAATAACTTGGAGATCGTAAATTTCAACGTCTTGAAATTTAAAAGAACTCTATCATCCTCTATCACTCCATATCCTGATTGAAATTGAATCTGAAAATTTCGCGTCTTCTGAATTCTTTTAAAAAAAAAATAATACGACAATTTTCCCATTTCTTGTTCTCGCTAAATTTATTCTCCTCCCTCGTTGAGAGTCCCGAAAGTGTTTCTAAAACAGAACCACCGTCTCATCGTGCAAGAGTTACAATACTTGATCTACCGAAATTTGAGCGAGCAGTGTTTCGTGAGTTGATACTGAATCGCAATTGCGAAATGCCAAATGGAAGAACGAGCCGAAACGGGAAACGCGATCGAGCGACCGCCGATCAGACGTCAAAGAAGAAGAGAAAAATGGGAATTTGAGAGCCAGGGAATACCTTTGGTATCGTGCTCCGTGAGTATTCGAGAGCGCGCAAAGCGATAGCGTTTAACTGTGAATTAGAATAAATACCAAGATAACTCTAATCAGTCTTTATACAATTATTCGTACATATCCGTTTTTTAAAGTTTTCTTCTCTTCCCCCTATTTCTCTTTCTCGTTCGCATTGATCCTTCCCCTCCGTCATTCATTCTCGCTCCTTTCTCTCGTTCTCACCCGCGAAATTTGATTCGGTCCTTAAATTATTTACAGCTCCGAAAGGGATTTTTGTTCGAGGGCGAACGAGCATGCAACCTTTTTCTTCCCCTGTCTCTAGTTTCCTATCACTTTCTCTCTCTTTCTCTTCCCTTCTCGTTTACTTTCTCCCTGCTTCTGCACTCTATGCTGTTACGCGCGCTTGAGATACAATTTCTCGCGAGAAAGCTCTGAAATAGCCCCGAAACTACGTTTATGTTCTTTTTTTTTTTTTTTTTGTTTTCTTTATTATTTAGCGTTCTTTCGGATGTACACCACTGCTCAAAAATCTCAGGACGAGCAATATTTTCACTACATTGAACGTCTGTTCAAAAGTTGGAAATACGAGATAACAATTCGTACGAAAAAATATCGGTGTAAATAATTTACTGCGAATCCGAATGTTATATCACAATATATCACGATATATCGAATCTGTAATCGAAGTGTTCTTCGTACGAACTTAAATTTGGAAAAAGTGGCTCGAAATGATTCATGAAAATTTGAGATCAATATTTGTCGTTCCGTCCAAGTGATTTTTTCGTAATTTATCTTAAAAGTTTATGAACAGAATAGTGACAAGTCTTTCCAAGCTCTAAAATTGATTATTCTTTCGCAAATCTGGAATACCGAGGCAAAATAATCGTTATCGAGAATCTACAATCTATGTTCGAATGATATGGAATCTACTTTGAAGAAATTACTCGCAGTGAAATTTGAATTGTATCTTCAAGTTAAAATCGAATTTTATACTCGATACGGACGTAACTCAACGAAATGCACGTTATCCAATTGAAATATTTCGAAATAGAAAAATGCCCTGAGACTTTTCAGCCAGTGGTGTAAGTAGCACGTGGTCACGCGGAATCGATTCCTTTTCCGCGCTCGAGAGGTCTAGCCGGAATCTAAAACGAACAGACAAGGTGGCGGTGAACTGACGCTAAACGGTAAAAAAATATTTCTGCAAACAGCAGCGTCTCACTCTCCGTGTGAAATCGGAATTCTCGTACCATTCCCCCGAAAGTACGTTCGACTGCGTTTGCTCTCGTAACAACGATGGAAACGACACATATACGACGGTATCCGTGAATACTCGTGATCGATTCTAGAGATCAATGAAACGGAACGCGAGTTGTCATCGTTGTTAGCTTGGTACGTGGTTTCTTTCTTTTTTTTTTATTGCAGATGAATATGTTGATTGGCAAACGATACGAACGATGCAATCGTGAGCCCGATCGTTTCCATAAGAATGGATCAGTTTGATATTAAAGATAAAGTTGTGAAGAGAGATACACTAATTTTGAGAAATTTCCTTCTTCTCGTCGATCGATACCGATCAGTTTGACGTTAAAACATTCAATATCGGTACGTATTAAAATAAGAACCCCATTGAGGACCATCATTTATCACAACTTTGTCGCTTCAAATTTTACGAAACGTAGAATCTAGGTGAAAAAATATTGAACAGAGATCTTTGAAATTCCCTTTCGTTCGCCTCGGTGTTAAGTTGAATGAAAAAAAAAGAAAAAAGAAAAATTGCAAATGGAATATGTTTACCTCAATGTTGGTTCTTAACGAGTTAAAATATGTTGTCTTAAAATGTACATGAAAGCATCGTTAGAGATCTTTAGATGATATTCAATACAGTATCGATCGGTATCGATACTAAAATACAGTGATCCATAAAATGAATTGCGCGTCGAATGATTCTGGACGTTCTCGTCGTCACCAACGCGTGGTCCTTTCACCGTGATATGTACGATCGGTGCAACAAAGCGTTATTTTTTTTTCTTTTTGCGTTTTCCTTTTTCTTTTTGCGAAAAGATTCACCGGTGTAATCGACGATTGAAAACACGCTCGCTCGCTTCAATCTCGATCTCTATCGTCGTGTTCTCTCTTCCTCTTTTAGATTAGGTTGTTGCCGTGTGAAATGTCCGAGAGATTTCATGATGACAATGTTTAAAAATTATCCATGACAATCAGTGATCAATTTGAATCACGTATTAAAATAATCAATATTAAATTCGAGCACTCTTTGGAAAACTTTAAATTTTATTCCAATACTGATCGTAATATTAATTTGATTTCCTGAAAGCTATTTTAAAACAATACTCAAGAAACTAGATCGAGAAAGAAATCAACAATTGTAATAATTATAGCTTCGTTTTACGATAGCTAAAAATTTTGAATTATCACATTCCAAGAAATGTGTTAAATTTGATCAGAAGAATTCTCGGTCATTTCATCTGCAACGATCTAACTAGATTCTATCATAAATCGCGTTGTTGACGCCCCTTTTTTTTTTTTTTTTTTTTTTTTTTTTGTTGACGCTTCGAACGAACCAAGACGAAAGCATGGTTTCGTATAAAAGTCGATAACTGGCGTTCAAGAGAATGCGTGTAACCCATGCGCATTGAAATTCGCTTGAAAAAATATACAAATACAGTAAAAGCTTTATCGTCTTTTCTTTTTTCTTTTTTTCTTAAATCGATCGTCGTCGAGATTCCTCTCCACTTTGCGTTTGCATTTCGAAAAAGAAGATTACCGCGTTGGATCGTGTTGGATCGTTTTTGTTAAATGTTCCGTACGATACCATAAAGCTTTGACTGCAATCATTTCGACGTTTCGTTGATCCTAGAAGAATAGATTGATATCTTTCTCATTTACTCGCAAAAAACGGTTTCGTCTATTCGATCCTATCGAGGTATAAAAATTAGAGGAATTTTCTGCCTAACGTCCGACCAGACAACCAAGGATTTCGAGCCTCGAATAGACATGCACGCTTGCACGCGGATCGTTGCCAGTCTTGGTAACAAGTATACAGCGAAGTTTTCAATCATTTTGATCGAAATGAAGGGAGAGAATTTAGAAATGATTTCGACAGAAGCATTCGATGTCAATTTAGAAGTAGTTTCTCTTTTGCTAATTGCGTTTGCGAATAAATAAAATCAATTAGGATCGTCACTGTCTCGTCATTTGTTAAATTAATAATATTATTAACAACATAATTATTACGAGCGATGTTTTACATGATCAAAAATAATTATTATCAATACCACGTTAGCTGGTAAATTTGAGGAAATTTAAAATGTTCAATCAATCGATTGGTGTGCCCAAATCCATTTAGTTATACGTCGGTTATAATTAATTATTAATTATGCAAGGAAGTTCAGAAATTTAAGGTACTTCCACCGTGACAATTCAACGAATCAGTCGTCCAAATTCATTTAATTAGTTACAATCAATGTGCAAATAGATCCAGTTTAAAATGTTTTCTCTATGTCGATGCGATCAGTCAGTTAATACATACACGTTTAACGTATCCGAATCAATTTAATCGGTAACTTCACTGTATCCTTTTGATCAACAATATACACGCAAGTGTTGAATCTCGCAATCACGTGCACGCACAATCCGAGCAATCTCATCGGCTGGTATATCTGGCTGACTACTACTGGTTTCTTCTACTCGGCGACTACACGTTAGATTCCCGTTTCTACTCCCTACGTACGGAAGTCGTAACACGTTCGTGTGGAAAGAGTAAGAAAATATCTATGAGTAGGTGGTATTTTCTCCTCCGTTGATCTTCGTTTTTTCTTTTCATTTTGTATCCGTAATAGAAAAATTATTCAATTATGTTTATAACGTACGCTCCATTATCGTGATCCATCAAACGTTCGCGATATGATAAAAAACGTTGTCGCCTATCAGAATCGTCTTTCGTCTCGATTCACGAAAGAGAAGGTTTTACGAAAGCGATCGGCTGTGTTTGTGGTTCAGAATGAGAGTAGACAGATTGGTTTGTGCTACGATAACGAGTCGAGAGTGGTGCAACAAGTATGGTTGTGAAGTCAAGTATGGTGGTGAAAGTACAGTCGTGATATGACGTGTGTTGTCGGGCGAAATGTTCTCAAAGAGTATTCGAGCCCTTCAGAAGCTGTATCGACTTTGTGCAAATTGAGGAAAATATATAAAAGCCTCGATGCCGTAAATTTTGAAATTTGCAAAGGTGGTGATATGACCTCTCGGTTCTAAATTCTCGTGATTTCAGTTACTTTCATAATTTTTACAAATTTACAATTGAACGACTATTTTTTTTGTCAATATTATATTTTTTATTGCATTATAAACCTTCTTCTGTTTTTTTTTTTTTTTTTTTTACTTTCATTTCTTTAATACAAACTTTATATTTTAGCAATCGATGGTTCTAATGTTCAAACGTAGAATAATATAAAAAATAAGTAAATGAAATCTATTGGTTAATACGACGATACTTATTCCCAAATATTTTTGTTATAAAAGTCCTTCCTCTCTCTTTTATTATGAAAAATGAAGTTATAAGAGTAGGTAATTTATTTCTTGACTGGCTTCTGAGAGGCTCGTTCGAAATTCTTATGGATTAGAAGATTTTCGATTTTCGATATGTGCGTGAAACGTAGACACACGTTACAATTCAGACAGATATAAAATATACATATATTTGGTTGATTCGATGTTCGTAGGTACTCTTCACGAAAGATAGACGTAATGCCATTGCTCGTAATTATTCGAACGATAAAGAGCTGTAATTTAAAACGTTCACTGATTTAACCTTTAATTGACAAGTAATAATAATTTAACGTTACGTTACTTGTAATAATTTTAGAATTTAATTGCCAACAAATGTGAAATACGAAATGAAATTATATAATACCAAACTTACGACTCTTACAGCAAACTGTATATCGTAATAAAGTTTAACAAAATTTTACCATGACAAACTTTGTTACAATAATTAATCAATTTCATCGAACTCGATTACGTTTCATTCGAAATAAATTAACGCGGACACTTTTGCATCGAGCAAATAATAAAAGTGAAGTTTTCATCGGTTCGAACATTTACGAGAAATTCTACACACATCTTCTGACACTTGTTTCAACTCGAAATCGTTCAAAAAATCGACCGGAAAATGTACTTCAAAATAACAATCTTTCTTCTAGAGCGTATCATTTTAGAAGGAGGGCAGAAAGCTAATTTCACGGAACTTGTTTCACTACGCTGCGCGTTTACTTTCCAAAAGGAAACTGCTCTCTAATGGAACAAGTGGAAAGAACGAAGAAAGCTTGCGCATCCTACAATACGTATGCTTCGTCGACAAGCAAGGCACGCTCTTAGTACCACACCTCTCGTTTTTGCCACTAGTTTTATCACTATCCGTGCGTTCGGTTGTAAAGATCGATGCTAAATCGAAAAATACCGTTCGTTTTGCCGAATTTGCGTCAACAACAATCTCCAAAAGACTTCGCTTAAAACGTATTGGACTTACAGCGAGGAGCACGACTGAACCAATAACTCGTAGATTTCGTGCAAATAGTTGTTCATTGCTGTTAATATCAAGCCAAAACCGACAATAAATATACAGAATTTTTTTTTTCAAGTATTTCTCATCCGTGGAGATTCTTAAAGCAAAAAGCATAAGATTTACGGACGTTCGTTGACCTTTCGAGCGTTTAGAGTATCGTACAGATAATCCGAGATCAGTTCGCTTGTCAGAGCTTATTATATAACATATTGAAACATCAAATACATCGATAGGTATATATTTAGAAGAATTATGATTGGATCCTGAATTTATTACATACTCCTCGTTGGATATCAAACTGTAAAGTTTTATTAAAATGTAAATTATAAAAGTGCAATAAGTCATGATGCTTGAACATGTATAATTGGACGTTTGATATTTGTAGACTTTCGTTCTCTTAATATATTAACGGTAATGGAGATGAATTTATACGAGATCTGTGGCCAATGGTTCTGTCATGCTCACCACTGTACGTGTACCTTGTATGTAAGTTTCTGAGTATCATAGTTATTTGTCGTTTATGGTAATAGGTAAAAGCACTGAGTAATATACGTTACATTACGCTATTATTATCTCGATCGTTCTCTATGCTGTTCCGAAAAAAGCGTCGGTGGTTTTCATCGAAATGTTGTGAGATACTTGGTACTTGGTAATTTTAGTTAGTCGATATTATAAGAGATACAGAAATATCGTCGATGTCTCTCCGTGAGTTGTTGGATCAACGATAGAATGCTTGAATTAATTACAATCGCGCGCGATTTCTCTTCAACCCTTTGACAGTGATAGCAGAAATAATTATCTCTCGATTTACAATATTTCCGACTTTGGCAAAATTATCTTACTCTCGGCAAATTTTTCAGGATCCTTTTCGCAAATTTAATCTGCCAACTTCCTCTTGAATTATAAATATTTGAACTCTTAGCACCTGCAACTTAAACTTATCGTTGCTAAGTTTTTTAAGAATCTTCGTTGTGAATTTTTTTTACATATAAATAACGAACGTTCGAATTCTTACACGAGAAAAATAAATAACAGCGCATAACAGAGTTTCTTTCTACGATCCTTTTTATAAGTTTGGCGTTCAAACTCTCGCGCGAGCATTTGAAATTCGTTGAATGCAAAAACATTCCTCCATCTTTGATATTCGCAGACACACTGTGAAAGGGTTGGCCTAATCTACAATAAGCCATCGTTCAATGTCTCGAAATTCGAATTCGTCCAACTATCTGCATTACGTCGTTCACTCGTCGTCGTCTCGATAATAAGTTTCACATTAACACGGGAAATCGGACGTGTCTCTCTTCTCGCGAGATCGTTCCCCTATCGATCGGTCCCGCGATATTTCAAAATCGCGAAGAATAGAAGAGAATTGCCGTAGCGCAAGCGTTGAACAGGACGAAGTAACATGGCAGTCGAATGAAATCAATTCGCATATTCACGTAACGAAGATTCAGAGATCCTTTCCGATTATATTTATCATAATGGCAGTAGTCGTACGCGTTTAAAAGTCCTCACACTGGTCGCGTTAATCGACGCGTGTCTCGTTATCATTATCGGTCGCGTGAGATCATACTTTTGTATCGTGTCTTTTTTTTTTTCTTCTTTCAAATATGGTTTCGACGATGGTAGCTTTTTTTTTTTTAATTAAAATTTTGCAAGCTTTGCGTTCTCGTAATTTTCGTTGAACAAACTAAATTCGTGCGAACCTTCCGAGGTTGATCGTTGCTTCGTTTGTGGATCTGTTTCTCTAATTCAAGCGGCGCAAGCGGGGATCCTAGGTTACTTGAAATATACCTTCGCGATAAATCTCCATCGAGACTCAGTCGATCACGCGAAGCTGCGTGAAAAAGTAAGTAGGATTTACCTCGCGATGTTCGTGATTTCTACAGTTTCTTGACTTCGGTCAGCATACGCTCTAATTTCACACGTTATTATTATTATCATCAATGAGTGATTATCAGTGAGTAGCTCTCGCAAGATATGTCTGTGTTGCGAATACGTCTGTGTAAATTCGAACGAGCCGATTTACCGGCTGGAAAACGGGCAGACCGTAAATTCTTTGTCCACAGGTATGATTTCTTATTGGTATATGCATACGGAAAGATAATTGATATGGAAGAACGGGACAGAGTATTATCTCGACGATAACATACAGTATCGAAAATAATGCGCAGTGAAGCCTCCCTTATAGCAGAGCTTATTTTTTTGAATACGTTAATCTTTCATGATATCGTAACAATTTTATTTCGTTTGCTTAATGCTTCGTTCTTACGTCGAATGTGGTTTGTTTCGCACTTGTTTAGCTATTAAATTTTTAATTAATCAACTACAATTGATTTTTATTTTAAAATCATTTCTAATCGTTTCGAGATCTCAGATATAAGTACATAGCGCTCGAAGTAATCAAAATTTTCGTTGCAGAAGAATAACGTTCGAATAGAAAACGTCTGTTGGTAACAATATTATGTTTTCCTTACCAACAGACACTCTGTTCTCACAATGCACAAGGTTCAGGTGTAAGGGAAGCTCTACTGCGATATAACCGTACGTGTCGCATGCTCCGAGTAACCAACTGTATGATATGTAACGCCATTATCCCGACGTCGGTGCGAAAAATCCATGATGATCCTCCTCCGCGAGCCTCGACCAACGAGAACACGGTCCCGAACGACCAATTCTCTTCCAAAAGAGCACGCCTCGAGAGACGAGGATCTCAGTGATCCACGAAGAGTCCGCACGGCGTCGCGACGACCGGCGTGTGTGTTTACCAAGACGCGGTTTTGCTCGGCGCGGAGAGCGAGATCGAAGAGGCTGCAATCACTCTGGATCACTCTGGGGATTGTGGCATTCGTTCTAATGCGGCAGACACGTGTCGGAGTCACCGCTACTTGCCATGGAGAAGTTAGCAGAATCCCGATCGCTCTGCCTGATCTGCGCGGTGGTGGTCAGTTTCCCGTTGACCTGCGACGCTTGTGGAAAGGTGTGGTGACCGGGCAGCGCCCACGGTTGCGTGTGAAGTTGAACAGGTGGGAACCTCTTGACGAACGGGTTGTTGGGCGCCGGTGCGATGCCGTGAAGGAGTCTCACGCCGTTGTGATGAGACGGCAGGGTGGTGTGCGCCGGTACAGTCGAGTGCACTTGAGGAGGAACGAAAGCATGCCTCGGCACCGATCCGCAGCTACCGCTGGAACCGCCCATGTGCGAGCCAGCCATGCTGTGAGACGCGTGAGGCAGAGGCATGGTGGAGCAGTGCGGATAAGTGACGACCGGCTGGGTCGGGTAATGCGGCAGAGTGGCCGAGGACGCGTGAACGCGGATGTCGTTGCTCTCCGTGAACGACGTCATCCTCATGTTCGTCGAACGACCGAACGGTTCCTCGTTGGGATTCAGAGGTTCCGTGAGCTTCGTCCTCGACAGTTTCCGCCGGATCACCACGGTCGCCTCGTTCGGATTCTCCAGGATGACAGCTGGACAGCCTTGTCCCGTGACAGTAGTGACATCGTTGCTGCCATTAACGCTGTTGTTCGCGCCGGCGTTTGCGTTCGTCGTTGCGTTTACGTTTGTCGGCGCGTTTGCGTTGATGTTGGCGAACAGAGGTACGTGGTTGGCGTATTGAGGCGAGGAGAATGATTGACTGGTGCCAGGGCGACTGTTCGGCGGCGAGAAGGCCGCTGTCGCGGAAGGTGGTTGAACGCCTCGTTGCAGGGAACAGCTTCGCCATTGGTCGCGCATTGGTTCCTCGCTGTCTCGTTGGTCGCAGTTGCCGCTCACGTCGTCGACGCTGGTCGCACGTCGTTGACAACTGCTGTTGCTCGCGTTGCTCGCGTTACTGTGCACGCCGCTCGACGACGTCTCGCTATGACTGCTCGCGTTGCTGTGACCCGTTACCGATCCTGCCCCGCTGCTGCCGCCAACTACAGCGTCCAACGGCGGCGAGTTGGAGGAGTCTGAACGAGGCGTTAGTTCTTCGTGCGGCATCCCCGAATCTCCTCGGCGCAGGCATCGTGGAGTTTGACCTCCGTTCGCCTGAAACCAACGTGCGACCACTTTCCTTCAATTTAAAGGGTAGGATCTCTCCGGTTTAGGTTAGGCAGGTCTATCACATCGTTCTTTATTTACTTAGTCGTTTGTTCGTTATATTGTTGTTTCATTTGGTATTTGGCAGCTTGTTAGAAAGAAAAGCAGCAGGTTCGTTTTGACGATGTCGATTTAGACAGAGCGAGCAAACCTACGAACTCTCTTTATTCTTCATTGTGTCAAGACGCTACTCTGTTCAGCTGGACATGAGTCTCTCTAAAGTCAAACTGATCAACTTCATGTATATAAATTTTATTTTATATAACGTCTTTAAGAAACGAATTTATTTATTACAGGAAGGGAGTGTAAATTAAAAGAAATTTTTATTCTATCGTTCTAATATTCTAAATATTATCACACCACGTATGTATATGTTTCTACATTTCAATTTATGTCGATCAGTCAAATATATCTGAGCGTTCCGTGTACAATACCAGCCAAAAGTTTGGACACACTATACTTATCACGTTTACATTTCATAATATATATTAATTTCTTCATATTTCTTTCACCTATACAGCACAATACTTGTTGAAATACTCTAGGAAAACACTATTGATACTTATCTGTATACTTCACACGCATACCCTAATATTACAATGCCCCTTTCTTTCATAAATCGTACTATTCTCTAAAACGCATGGTGGTTCCAAACTTCCGATCAGTATACTGTATCTAGCGACTCGTATCGATTTCTCCAACGCCGGATGAGAATTCAATTTTCGCGAAAATCCCCGGTGGATTAGATTTTCACGGAGAAGTTTGCCCGCTCGTCTAGTCATTGGTAACACGGTGAAACGACACAAGAGTTTTGTTGTTAGTACCTGGGTGTTAGTGGTTAGTAACGCCGTGATAACTTCGGTAGTCGGTGCACAAGTTGGAGTCGGAGTCGGAGTCGGAGGTGGCAGTGGAAGTGATTCCGAAGTGGGATCGGGCAAGGGGTCTGGAGTCAATAGGGGCGAGGGGTCGCCCTCCGAAGGTTGCAGATCGCGATTTGCGCTCGCGTAGTATGTCACTTGGTCGTCGTTCACGCACTCGAGCAGCTGTTGGAACGTTTGTCAAAGAAAAGAAAAGACGATTAATTGCCAAGCGATTGACTGCCAATTAGAAAGTAAGGCTAGAAGTGTTTGGAATTTATTGGAAATTTGTTAGATTGTTGCGGATGATACGGCCGAATTCTTCGTGCAAGCTTGGTGGAAATGCGTCGTGAATAACTGTGGCGATGTGATGTTGTGTAATTGTTGTAATTAAAATTTTTTGTTGGTCATTGTGCTATGTTTCCTTTAATTCGAATTTATATACACGTTTATAGCTGATGTAGTTTATTTGCGGGCAACTTTTACTCTGTTGAATCGAGGTTTCAAAAAGTTTGCAAAAAAATGCAGTAGCAATTTGTAGTAACAAATCTGTCTGTAATTCTGGACGTTGAGTCCAAACATCAAGCTTCGAATCTACGTTTAGTAAATGTTATTTACCAGTAGTTTTTCAGTCTGGCTTGCGAAATTGGACGTTTCATGTGCAACAATCTAATATACGAATCGAAGCGAAAAAGAAAAAGAAAGAATGGACGATTAGAAGAAAGAAGGGGAAAGAAGGAACGAGAGAGAGAGAGAGAAAAATCGCATTGAACATGACCAACAGGGGGTACGATTCGTACAATAGTTTAAATTATCGATGCCAAGTGTTTTTAAAAATTTATACTGCCCTTAGACAGTGTTATGGCCGTAGCAAACATATTGTCCGAACCTTTCTTCGTACACGTTTATGTACAAAAGTCGAGAGTGATAGAAGAGAGTTCGGAGGATGAGGGGATAAGCGTAAAATCGAAATCGTGCACTACCGATCAAATCGAACTCGAAATATCGGGGCATGTCTCGGGGTACAAATACTTTCGCCATTTCGATCGTTTGCCTGTTAGTTAACGACATTGTATTATAGTTAACGACAGACTAACATGCAACTGAAGTTTGTTAATGCGAACGCAACCAAACTGTAACAAACCACACGCGAATTTCGATCAATTTTGTTAGTGCAAAACTTCAAAGCATTCACACACAAAAAAAAAAAAAAAAACATTCGTGTACGCCTTACGTTTCCAAATTTAGGTATAACGTCTCTACGAGATATCAGCCACCTCTCCCACTGTCAAAGCAAAAAAAAAAAAAAAAAGAAATTAAAAATTAAAAAAAAAGGGGGTTGGGGATAAATGAACGACACGACGAGAGGTACTCGAGCAAAATGTCTCCAGGCTAACGAAATTTAATGTACAAAGCGTTCGTGAAATGTTCGTAAATGAAATTTAATACAAAGCGATTAGAATCGAAAAGCATTATGAAACGATCGGATACCTTGTTCTCTTCGGACGTTGAGTCGTCCGCAGGATCGAGAGACGTGATCAGCGGTAGTTCTCGTAGCGTGGCGTAATCTCCGTCATCCTCAGGGCCCCCGTCGCCGGTGCCTCGTCTGACTTTTCCTTTATTACTGCAAATTCAAACGTAAACGCATCGGCGGCACGTTAGAACGAGTCCCTATGGATGATGTTTATTTATTTATTGAGGTTTGGGAACCAGAGTCAATGACTGGGAGAGAATGATGGGAGGTTTTCTGTGAGGTTTGGGAACCAGAGTCAATGACTGGGAGAGAATGATGGGAAAGGAAAGGAAGATATGGTATTTCTTCATGATTGTGTTATGTTGGTCGTGAAATTGAAAGAGATCCGTAAATATATATATACACACGTGCTTATAGTACGTGATCGTTTGCATCGTTAACTCTTTGCAGTTTGACTTTCCTCTGGCGAGCAAGCAAATTTTGGTCAGGGTAATATAATATGTATACTTTGAAATACAATGGAACGAGACGAGTAGAATGCGGATTTCAAGTGCAAAAGATGGTACGAAGTATCCAAAGCACAGTGCTTTCGTTTAACATTCGACGTGTAGAGCAATCCTCCACACTTTAGGTTTTATTTTTTAAATAAAGTAATACTCCGAATTTATACGAACTCGCGGATTCGCACGACGATCCGCAATCTACGTTGCGTACAACATCACACGATCAATATCGTTTAATCCTTTGAGCGTTTAATTTATACTAAAATATATCGTGCAAATAATCTCGAATAATATGTTTAACCTGTTGCGCTGGAATGACGTGCCACGCACGTCGAGAACTTTTTGCTCCAAAATTGTAATATTTTCTCGGTTCTAAGTACATTTAAAGCGAAACAATAAATAAATTTATTACTTCTCAATCATTTCTACCGACGAGGTACGATCAAGAAGAAAGCGACGAATTATTGTATACGGTTCGGTCACTCGTTATGGTCCGCAGTCAGTCTGCCAAGCGCAACTGGTTAAAATACAAAAGAATCAATCCAAAGATATTCGAAGACGTTGAACGCGTCTTCACAGTTCGTCTTGAACTTGATCGAACTTCTACACTTTTGGCCACAGTTTGATGCACTCAAAGGGTTAAGCAAGATCGAAGCACTGCGAAAGATGGTGAAACGATGCTCTCGAAGAGTTAACGACCGCCTGCCCGCGGTCTCTTTTTCGACAAGCACACGCAATTCAATGGCATCGACAAGACGCAGCGTGTACGTAAGCAACCAGACACACACGAACACGGGCACGAGGTTAGCGGGGGAAAAAAGATTCAAGGTGATGGGAGGATCGATCGATAGGGAGAATTACTCGCATGAGTATATCGCGAGAGAGCGACAATAATATTGTAAAAATAAATACACAGTAGCGAAAGCGAGGAGGGGTGGCAGGGTTGTACACGACAAAAGACACGTGGACGGCACGATCATCGGATCGGGACGAAAAATCTACGAGAAAATTGACAGAGAGGAGAAGAGAGAAAGAGAGAGAGAGAGAGATATCGTACGAAAAGCACGGAGACACAACGTTTACATACAGAAAGACACCAAGAGGAGGGAGGAGGGTAGTTACCGCGAGCCTGACGTACTAGGCAGGTCGTTGAAGGTGACCTTGGGCTTCAGCTTCTTGTTCAGCCAGCCCTTCTCGCTCGTTGGTGCACTGTTCGCATCGCTCGGCGATCTCGTCGGCGACGGCCGTAATTTCGGTCTTAGCCAATAGATCTGCTCGTCGTCGGCCGCTGAGTCACCGTTCACCGAGTCAGCGTTCCCTGTAGTTGCAGAAGAGTTGAGACACTTGTGCAAGTTTTTTCATTTCATCGGAAAATTACATAATTCGATATATATGGAACCTGAGGAAAATGCGAGGCTTATTTTTCAACCCTCCGTAACCGCAAGACTGATTAGTTTATTTAGTCCAATTTGAATGCTAATAAGTGTCGTGTATAATTCGACTGGAATTCTCGTAACGACACGCTGGCGCGATAAATGAGAGTGGTGAAGAATTTTAAAATTAAAAATGTGTGTTACGGAGGGTCAAGGTTGGAAATCAATATCGTGAACCAGCTAGCGAATTTTTCTCTATTCTGTTCTGTTCGTACAACATGTGAAAAAACATTGTTATATTAAAAATGTCAAATAAAATATTACAAATATATAAATGGCAATATATTATATTAAAATATATTAAATATATATTTTAAATATATTAAAATAATATAATTATTTATATATAATATATTATTAATATAATTAATAATATAATTATTTATTTATAATATATTATATTATATTATATATATATATAAAATAATATAATAATATAATATGTTATAATAAATAATTATATATATTTTAAATGTATTAAATATATTAAAATAATATATTGCCATTATTATCACCGATATCGTAATATTAAATACCATTATTATATATCCTTGCACAAAGAAGATTTAAAAAAAAGCGAAAACACACTTTTCATTGATTTCCACTCTAAAAGAAAAAGAAAAGGAAAATATTTTACCTTGATTGCGCGCTTTTCTTTCGATGGCCGCCTTCTGTATGACGCTCATGATGGCCTTCTTCGGCGAAGCGTCAGCTATCGTGTAAGTTCTACCGTTTCCAACGACCAGCAGCGGTGCATTCGTTCCGTCGTCGTCGTCTCTGGCCGACAGTAGATCCACGTCCGTGACGAGTTTCACCGATCTGGCCGATCGAACCGTCGCTCGGCCGATCGTCACTCGTAGCTTGAACGTCCAGCGTTGTTTTATCGTGAGAAAGATCCACAAGAACAACCAGAGGAACAGGTGAAGAACCGTTGCGACGACGCAGGCTAATATCGCACCATCGAGACTGCCACGATAGACGACGATGTAGTCGTAGAGCAATGGCGCGCTGCAGATCGCGATCGCCAAGAACACGCAGAACGCGGTGCAGTGAATGAAATATATCCAGCCGTTGCCGCTTCTGTTCTCCTTCGAGAGGATTATACGACGCTCGCGCTCTTGGTTCAAAAACGCTGTGAACCTGCGTTACAAGTTAATAATAAATAAATGAAGGAGAAGTTAATTAAACAAACTATACGAATAACATGTGCAAACATGTGAAGAAGAACACTCTGGAATAATAGTTAGATTACTTGTGGAATTTTTCTATTAATTGGATTATTTTATTAGAATGTAAAATGGAAAATATATACATATATATATATAAAAATACACTGACTATTAACTGAGAGTTAAGGAAACCTTGGTGTTGGAGTTGGAGTTGCATTTTGTTTCATGAAAGACAGATCCATTAACGGAGGGATCGTTTAAACGGCCGTTTGAAAGAACGATAAGAAATAAAAGAGAATGGAAGAAAATAGAGGGGAGTAAGAAAGGGCTTACCTGCCGTAAGCGTAGAAATACATCACCATGCTGGAGCAGAGCACCAGAAGAGAGGAAAGAGCAAACAAGACGAGGGTGACGTGTGGATTTAGCAAGAAGTACGAGTCTCCGAAGATGGTTGATATGCCACTAGTGGTCGATATCGTGCGATAGTGTTGTCGAAGAACCGGTAGCACCTTCAAAGGTCCTATTACCTGAACCTGAGCATATCACAAACGTTACTCGCCTATGTCTCATTTGCTCGCAGCAAATTGGCAATTAATAATATTAGTGAATCGACAAGTTGCAAACTGCAGGTCCTCTCCTTTATGGTTTCTTTTTCAATTTTATAATTACAGGTAGAGTCATCAAATGATTTGTGATTTGTGAAATTTATCCTACAGTTCATTTAAAAATTTTACTCTAAAATATTATTCTAAAATTCATTTCTATATTTTTACTGTAAAAATTGTTCCAAAGTTTATCCCGAAATCGTCCCACAATTTTACTTTAGATTTTCAACTTAAGTTTTTAAGTTTCTACAATTTTACGTGTACATATTATCTTGCAGGAAAATTTATCAACAGTGAACTGTGCTTGTGTGACTCGTGACTCGTGAAATTTCACTAATAATATTAGATTTCAATTACATGCAACAGAGATATTTCTTACCTTGTAAAGTACAGACATTCCAACATAGGCCAACAAGCTCTGGGCGGAATTGATGATCAATTGGAAGCTGAAAATCGTGGCCAGCGGTTTATTGCACGACCAAAACACCGCCGGATACCTCACGGAATACACTCCGAGAGCGATAGCGTAATTCAAGTACTCCAGAGTAATAGGTCCGTATGATTCAGCTAACAGAGACGCAACAAGAACAATTATGAAATAAAAAATTCCCAAGAGGACACTCTATAAGATTATGAAAATTAAATTGGACAAGCGCAAACGTCACAATTGTAACAAATCAAGTTAGACAAATATAAGGATGAAAGTTAAATTACAACGAATCAAGTAAAACAAACACAGAGATGAAAGTTGCAAAAATTCACTACGAAGATTCAGAGAGAAAGAGAGGAAGAAGAAAGAAGACACAAGCTCACCAGCTTGAAACTCAAGGTTCAACTTCTCCGGATGATCCAAATCGGCCAAGCTGTTCATCGTCAACAGCATACTCTGCGCGGTCATGTTCCCAACGGAGACACCCTTGCTGGGCCTGACAGTGGTCGGAGACCTCCCCACGTTCTTCGCTTTCAACTTGCTCTTCGAATTGTTATTTCGAACGATCGACTTCGCAGCGACGAGCCTCCTCACCGTGTTTCCGTACTTCATCGAGCCAGACGTCGAGGACAACGTCGGCGTGAAAGTCGTACTTTCTCGATCAGCGCTTGCGGCTGTGACCGTGGCCCTAGCTGCTTCCGTCGATCTCGTCTGCTCTTTCACGTCCCTCGTCGTTGTCGTCGTCGTCGTCGTTGTCACCATTTCCGCAGTCGTTCCTGCCAAATTCGCGCTCGCAATTGCCGGCGTCGCCACCGACGAGGCTGTCGACGTCACTTTCCAACTCCCATCGGCGTTGGACGGTGTCTTGGTCGCGTTGTTCGTGATTTCGTGGGTGGTCGCCGTCGGGAGGGTCCTCTCGGTCGGTAACGCAGTGCCACTGCTCGAAATTCTTGCATCGGGCGCGGGTAGATTGGTACTCGTCGACGTGTACTGAAACTGACCGAGATTTTGCTTGTTGCTCGTATTGTTGTACGTTTTGAACTCCGTGGATTTATTGATAACGTCGGTCAGTTCCAATCTCGTGGTGACAATGTCGCTGGCTATATTGTCTGGCTCCTCGTCCGGTGTCAGGGTGACGTACGGCTGGGGCGTGATGAAGCCCGTTAAGATGCTGAGATTCACGTTCGGGTTCATGAAGCTCGACACGACCAGACGATCCCGGTGAGTCACCAGCCAATCGAGGTCCGTGCGCCATATTGTTTCTGGAAAACAGGGAACAACGGGGTTATCGATTAAATAGGATTAATCGAGCCCCGGTATCCGCATTGCGCTCCATTTGGCAATCTCTCCGCGGCCGAATCGCTGAGCTCGGTTTATAGTTCACGCGCCCGCTGTCGACCTGTGCGTGAATTTTCTGCCAGCTGTGTAGTCGCGACAATTGGAGGAGAGGAACTAGAGGGGCGACACGCAGCAATTAAAAGCAGAAGGAAGTTTACAATATCGGATACCATGAGCTAGCTACTAGACGTTAGACCGTTAGGTTTGATATTCATTTGATTCTAAAATTCTGGAAATAATCAAGCTTGAAATTTTATTTCAAATTTTGAAAATAGTCAAATTGAAATATGATTCTTGTACTTTAGTTGGTTCTGGTTTCTGAATTTTTAATTATTTTAATTTCGGCGGGACAGAATATGAAATGCACAAAATTCTAAAGCCGTGGATTTAAAATTAATGGTATAGAGGTGTAGAAGAGTTGTAAATTAGCAATTGTGTGCATTCTCAAGAGTTATTTAATTTTAATTCCAGTTGGAAAGAATATTACATGTTCTATGTTTCGAAATCAATGATTTTAAGAACTACTGTGAGCTGCACCATTGTAAATAATAATATAAATTGCTATAGTTATCTGTCAGCCCGTAATGTCACATAAAAATAAACCCCCTAAGTTGATGGGGAATATTATTTCGCGATTGTTTTAGAAACATAAAATGTTAAAGATTCTGTGCAACACAGATTCACAAATAATTTATTACTACGTTATATAATTATAATTAGATCAATAATTGATTTAATTTAATTAGATTAATAATTAATTTAATTAATCATTTACTGTAATTATTCAGACCAATGTTAAATTATTATTATCAATAATGAACACATGGTATATTTTTCATCGTACTAGCGACAGTAATCTGTTTTTCACTTATTCATTTCTTTCGTCAATTACAATTCAATTTTCTAAAAATCGTGATGAATTTCCTTACATTTATATTCTTCAACTTCCTTCTGTACACCACTGTACGTTTCTCGAAATAGTACCTTTGCCATGAAATACGATAGGGTGGAGGATGTTTATGCATTCATGGGGAAGTTAAAAATAGGGAAAATATACAGGATACAAAGGCTATGGGCGAAACCGAGTAAGGTGTATTTATTACGTAATTCTCCTGTGATCTTCATATCATGGACGAAGAAAGTGATCGAGTTCGAAGAAGTATGTCTTTTAAATAACAGCTGTAAACATAATAGTAGCATGACCATTTTCATTAATGATGTATTTAATATATTAATGTAATAACATATATGTCAATATATTAATAGTAAATGTATGATAATTAACTAAATGATTAAAGAAACTACACAATTCGAATTAGTATCAAAAAATGATAGTACCTTGTCGGAATCAGGATCAAAATCTCGCGAATAATTTCCTTACACTGCAACACTAATCTAGTCGTGAAAACTGCTACGAAAACATAAAATTCACTATTGCGATTACAAATAATTCCAAAAATTGACAATTCTGGAGGTAATTTCAATTAAACACGACCAACGTATGTTGAAGGAACAAACATTACGTACGCGCGAGTCTAACGAAGCACGAAACAAATCCCCGAGTAGATCCCGTTTGTTTCTCCAATTACACTCGTACAAACACGGATTTGCATACGTATCGGCGATCTAATAACACCGCGTTAATAATTAACGAGCCCGGCCGTGCACTTTCGTGTTTTTGATCGCGGATCGCGTGAATAGATCGCGCGCACGTTGGGGAGGAAAAAATTCAGCGAGGAAGGAATTCGAATGTGATCGTCGTTCTTTTTTGTCCGAAGACGGGGGGAGGAAAAAAAGAGTTGGATCCGCGGCGAACGAAAATTGGCATTAGACTTTCTTTTTCGTTTCCCTTTCGCGCGCGTTTTCTTGGTTAAGTGGCTCAAGGTGGAAGGATTCGAGGAACGAGAAATCCTGTAGCTAGCTGCACACACCTGGCCGATCAATACACGAACCAGAACGTAGTCAGGACGAAGTTGCCCCGTTACATTCCCAAACGCCCCTTTCTCCATGCGCGAATCGTTTCACCCTGTAACGATAGCGGATCTGAATCCGAAAACCACGGCCCCCGTTTCGATCGATCGATCGAAATTTTTTTCCGTGGCCGATGGAAGCGACGAAGGACGGGTTGTTGAATGTCGGAAAAATTTTACGGACGGGATAAGAAGAGTGAAACGAAGATGGAGCGGCGAGGGGGTGAGTTTTTGGACGAGAAGATTGGAAAGTTGGCAAGCTGCAGACAAAATATGTCGACGTTTTACGGGTAGACGGCAGATTTAGGTAGTTTGTTTAGGAATTAAGCTCCGCTCGTTTTCGAAGATCGAGGGACAGGTTTTTAGAGGGGAGAGAAGATGATAAAGTTAAAAAAAGTTGTCTGTATATTCTACGAGCAAATTGGGTAGTTTAGAAATCAAAATTTTGTACGTTTTAAACGTTTCGTTCGTATCGAGGAATAGGGGAATAGAGATTGCAAAAGCAAGGAATTGTAGACGAGATACGTATATATCTTACAAATGTGTATTCGAGCGTAAGATAGCTTCCAATTCCCTATTTTCCTATTTCCTATTTTACAGTCTCAATTCTCGATACGATCGAGAAGATTCTATTTTCTATTTTATATCCTTAATTCTCTCCGTGATCGAAGGTTTATTCGTAGCTTCTATTACTTCTTCCCCCCCCCCTTTTTTTGCATTAGGAAGTTAAAGTTTGAAGATTTCGTAATAAATAAATTTAGAAGAAAAAAAAAGCAAAAATTTGGAGAAAGACGCGTGTTCTAAAATCGTGCTTGAAACAAAGAAAAACGAAGAGAGATGTATAGAAAGAGGAGAAGAAAAAGTAATCACGTCAACAAAAAACTGTAACCATTTATAACACAAGTCTCTGTGATTGTAGAGCAACGAGGCACGGGCAGATAGGTGTTGGTCGTTACCTTTTGGCAAGAATCCAGCGTGTATCAGTCTAGCCTCCATGAGCAGCGAGGGCAGCAAGAAGCACATTGCCGTGCAAAGGTGTACGAAAGCAGCGGTTGGACCTCCGTGTCGCCATAAATTATTCGCCAGACCTGCGGATCGACAGCACGAGAATCGCGTAGGTAACAAACTCCCTTTGACTTGTTCTTCTGTCGTTCGTCGTAGTTTGCTAACGCGTATATACTGACTGTGATCAGGATTGTTGGTGAGCAAGGAGGAGGGCGGGTCGCGCGAACAGGCGCTCAAATGACGGCCGAGTTTTATCCCATCGTTCGCCAGGTTACCGAGCTTCAGGAAGGCCGCGCCAAGAAGAACCGGCAGCAGAACGACCCCAGCCCCGGCTAGCACCAGACACGCGTACAACTCCACCTTTGGTGGTGGAGCGTCCGCCGGCCAAGGTAACGATAAATACGCTGTAACGTTTCATTTTCAGTATTATATTTCGCTTTGTTACATGTTGCTTCGTTCATATGGTTATTTTTACTCTCATGCTCTGTCATATTTTGTTGTATTGTTGTAACGAGACGCGTAGACAGTGGCTGGTGAAAGTGTAACAGGACCACAGGTTATCAGAATGTACAGGGCGTTTCAGTAGCGAATAACCAAGGAGAAGATTTACTTGAATTTTATACTCTTTAAAGTTAATTTCAGGCCCAACGGGTCGTATAATATTTCAGTTCGAAAAGGTTCAGAGGATATTGGGATTTCGAATGAAATACAGTAGAATTATTTGAATCTGAATTCTTGAATTAATGAACAATTAGAAGAACAGAGGATTTTAATTATTCTTTTTTAGGCTACGATACCTGTGTAATCGATCGTGATAATTAAGTTAAAACTGATAATTGATGTTTAGTTCAATAGAATTGTAATTCTAAGTTCTGAAATGGACGAGTTTAAATTTTTGTCCGCCATATATGTCCTGAAGAAAATGTGAAACATCTTTATTGCAATATTAAATTTCATTCAATTCGGTAGAGTGCAGGCCAAATTTTAGAACGATAACATAAAGTAATGAAACAATAATACATTGAATTACATTCCGTTGAAATTCAAGTGGTGCGTTGGTATTTTGGATAGGCAAATAATTCCCATGAACAGTATGCGGTTAATATAATTTAACTTGTTAGTCCAGTTTTCATTTCGGAATTTTCTAAAACTAGAATCATTCTGAAGTCCGAACCTTTTACGCGCGTGTGCGTCTAACTTTAAAATGCAGAGTTCAATTTTGATTGGAACGTTTAATATTCGAAAGATTTACTTTACTTTGGAAAAAGATCTTTTCTTCTATCCGAAAACAAAATTATTTGATTATCCAAATAGCGCGTGACATAAAGTTCCGTTGTATTTAAACGTTTACGATGAGAAACTTTTGTGAATATATTACGCGCGTTACGTGAAACCTTGAAATTTCATTTTGTAACGAGACACGACCGCGGTGATTACATTATTAAAGTTTCAAACAAAACCGACAATTTATCAATGTTCATAAAAACTTGAGAATTCAAAACGAACAAAAGGAATTTTCTTTTAATTTTAGAAAAATTAAATCAAAGAATTATTATTTGTTAACTTTGTCGGCGATTTATTAATTCATCAATCGGCGAGAAATTAATTCACGCGTATATTCGAACGATTAATCGACGAGGATGAAAAAAAAGAACGACACACGTATTCATACAAAAGAATTTCACAACTCTTCATTGCACGAGGAAATTAATTCACAAACACATATACGTATCCACAAAAAAAAAAAAAAAAACGAAAATTAATCAGTCGTATTCCTAAAAAATTTCTACAAACGTTTATCGCACAATTCTCTTGTGCAAAATGTTAATTAAAGATTCGCCAAGAGAGAAGAAAATTAATTACTCGTATTCCTGAAAAAATTTTCTGCAAACGTTTATCGTTCACGATCCCCCTGTGAAAATATCAATTTGCACGCACGCGTGTTCACCGAAAGAAAAATCTGCCAAGGGAAAAGAAAATTAATTATTCGTAGTCATAAAATTTTCCACAAGCGTTTAGACATTTTCGCCAGCCACTGTGCTCATTTAAACGCGCGCGCACAACGATTTCTTCCCCGTTGAAATCTCCACGAATTTCGTCCCAAGTTTCCTCTTTTAATTTAACGAGAGAATGAAAGAACGACAAATTCACTTACCGGCGAACCTTTTCGCGTATCTCAGGCCGATGTAAGCTTGAAAAGCGACCGCCAAAACGCCGTACCAGACGGACCACAAACTATTCACGTGACCCCGTATACAAGAGTTTCGTCTAGCAGACCTTCGTGGCTTTTTCGTTTTGTTGGTGGTCGTGATACCGCTTGAATTTATGCTGGACACTATCGGAAGCGGTTTCAATGGCTTCTTACACTTTGCTTGATTTACCTCGTTATTGTTCTCGTAACCCATCAAGCTTCCCGTCATTGACATTTTGTCCTGAAAGGGAAATATTTCGCTCGTTCATCGAACATTGTGCCCGTGAAAAAAAAAAAAAAAAAAGAAAGAAAGATTCAACGCGCGTTCGGTCTTATCATTCTTCAGTTTCGAAAATGAAATTTATCGCGGCGCCTACAGTGTATTGTTTCCTATCGATCTCTTTCTTTCCCTCTCTTTCTCACTTACACTATAATTCATGTCGATAATTTTCATGGGTTTGAGCTGTACGAACAATAATAATAATTAGACAGGTTTAATAACAATTTGGCGGGTAATAAATTGTCACGTCGTTGATTTCGTTTATGTTAGGTTTGGGCAATAAACTCGTTCGATCGTACATTTTGAGAAATATTGCAACAAGCCGCGTGTAACAAGTGTGAAATTTATTGCAAATTGTTTTTCATTCGTTTGCCTCTGAATGGCACGGTTTCAAAAATATCGTGCACAGTAAAATTATTCAGTTGCTCAGCGCACGAGCAAGTGATACGAATAAATGTTAAACGATTTATAATCGAATCGTTTAAGAGTGAAAACAATATTTACAAATACATAGTAAAAACAATCGTTTGTTTTTGTACGATAAATATAAAAATCGAAATGTGTAACTGAATGAAAAAGTTTACATACTTGTAACGAAAGTTACATATGTACGTCATTAAATTATACAATGGTCATTAATGTGTGATCAAAATAGACACAATCTAATAATATAATTATAAAATTTAGTATTACTGGCGCTGACGTCTCTGAAGAATCGATTTATTTCCAGTTTTAATTTAATTATTTAATTAAAGAAGAGACTGTTGCGCTAAAATATGATTTCTGGTCTTTTTGTAATTTATCTCTTTTTTTTATCGGTGAAATTTTCAATCTCTCTCTCTCCTTTTTCTACATATGTGAAACGACAACTTTTCTTGAAAGATAGAAAATGATATTCATTGGAGCAGAATACATTTTAATAAGTGTTTATAGACTCCTTCTGTGACTGACTGTCTAACTACATTGATTTCGATATTCATCGAATTGGAACGCGTGCACGTCGGACGCGATATCATAGAATATTCCACACAAGTAATTAATAGAATTACGTAGCTATTTAAAAGAACTCTGAAGGAATTGTCACGTTTTCTAAAATCGAAAGGCGTCAAATGAAACATATAAGATTGAAGTTTCGGCTGAAAACAATTACCGAGTATTCTGCTTTGTTTCTTTGTGTAGGCGTCTTAATGTTTCGAAGGAGTTTGTTTGAAACAATCGATACGAAGCTCTGACATTTTTGGGGGTGACAGCGCCGCCTGAAACGCAAAAAGAGAAACGGATTATTAAATCTCTGGTCGCTAGAATAACAACAAAATTAACAACAGAACTATCGATTGTCAAGAGTAGAAAAATAAAAAGTTAATATACAATAAAAAGCAACAGCTTTTGTGTTTCTGTAAATTTAATTCTCTATGAAAAATTACGAATCACGATGGAGCATTTATCTGAGTCAAATTTTAATGGGTATCTCATTCAGTCGACTCTTGATTGAATGTTGTTTGAACCTGAACTTGTATCGTATAAACGAAAAGGGGAAATCAGTAGACTCCCATTATGTAAACTATTTGTTCTCTCGCTAGTTTGTGTAAGCTAGCAGAGTTCTATAGTAGTTACTTTGACCAGTTTGGTAGTTCTATTGTTAAGTGAGTTTCTTTTGAACGCGAGCTAGTATTATGGAACGTACAGCGAGCCAAGTAGAAAGAGACAACTGCGCGGACGCTGCAGTGATCGAACTGTGAAACTGACCGGACTTATCTACTTAACGTTGTATCTATGTACACGTGTACTCTACGAGAATATGTACAACGCATAAAAGTTGCTACATGCTCGCCAATGTACAACGTACATACACAGAGCCTGTTGATTCATTTCTGCATATATATAGTGGCTTACAAATATATTACAGGGTGTTATACAGGATGTATTCGAAGTTTAGCGTTCAAACTTCACCAGCGAAACAGGTAAAAATAAAAGTGAAACGTTTGCCCTTGTTTCAGGCTTGATCAAAAATTCAAAAAAAAAAAAAAAAACATTCAATAGTATCGAAAGATGAAATTTACTATCGCTCTGACATAATCAATTAATTATTAATATACAGTGAAGGGCGTGACAATGGAAAATAGTCGATAATTTAGACTTACTGTTGTAAGTTCGTAAATAAACGAACTCATATTAGAACGTGAGGCTTCTACTTTGACTTTAAAAGAATCCCAAAATAGTGGACGAACGCCTAATTGCGAGAACAATTTCGTAATGTTTGAATTTTCACGAATTTCCGAAAACAAAAACAAAAAAAAAAAAAAAAACGTACTCACGATGTTTCCCTTTCGAAATTATCGATCGATTCGAATTGTCGACAATTTTTTTCGCAATTTACGCGCGCGCATTTGCCTGATCCCTTGTCGGGAAAAATCCGAAAGTATTCGGAATAATCGAGAGATCGAGCACCGGAAAAACATTCGACGCGATAGAGGGACGGTTCGCGAGACAGCGTGAAAGCCCGGAAAGACGAGTTGAACGCGCATTGTACGCGTAAACGGGGTATTCGTTTCGAGCAACGGTATGGTACAGACGAGGGACAGATGAGAAAGGGGTGAAACCGCCGCGCGGAGGGCGTTCGAGCATTGTGTCGAAATGTTGCGAAGAAAATTACGCCGTCTATCGGCTCCTCGATGCTTCCTCGATCGTGAATCGCGGCGACAATGACGAATCCACACACAGGCCGCAAGTGAACAAGAAAAATGATCGAGCGGCTTAATGCTTGCCGACAATCGCGGGTAGCGAGCCGGTACATGAAGGGGTGGAAACAGAGGAGGACTAGCGTGGCGTGATAATTCTAGTGCTCTTACGACCACATTTCCCTCTCTCTCTCTCTCTCTCTCTCTCTCTTCTTCTCCTTCAAACATTCTCCTCCCTATCAGCTTTTTTCTGGCACCCTCGGCTTCTCAAAGTCGGTTCTTCTTGTCTCTTTGACAAGAAGGAGCCGTTTTTCCCCGCCGACACGATTACTTTGCAGGGAAATTCTTCCTCCTTTTTTCCCTTTCTTTCTTTTTTTTCTTCAGCTCGCAGCAAGGATATTGTTCCTGATCTCTCTAGCTTTGCCCGCGCGATTCAAAAGATGCAAGCGATACCGCGGAGACTCGGCAACCGAGTCTCTCTCTCTCTCTCTCTCTCTAACTCTCTGTCTTTCTGTGCTTTGCACAAGGGGCTCGGATATCGGTAACAGAAAGAAACGAATCTTTTCGTTTGAGGAATGACGCGAGATTGAAGGAAGAAACAAAAAGAGAAAGAGGACGTATTATCGCGGTAGCACAATCGTGGTGTAATCTCACCGATGGTTGACCTAGTTGTCGAGAGAGGAACAGAAGAATAAGGTGGTGGTTAGAGTTGTTTCAGTGTACCGATAGTGGATTTATTGTTACGATAAGATTCATTTTTTTCTTTTTTATATTTGCAATTGTCTGAATAGATATCTTTACAAGAACGATAATTCTCTTTTTACAATTTTTAGTTAAAATGTACTTTGTTCATCTACTTGCGAGGAATATTCAAAGCTGTTGAGTTTTCACTTCATTTTTGCGACAATATTCTTTTTTATTTTCATCATTTTACAGTTGTCCGATTATCACTCGAGTTAATAGAAAATTTTCGATCATTTTCTTTTCACGATTTTCTTGGGATATTCGAAAGGAATATTTGAGAATAAAATTGTCGCGAGGAATGAAAGAGTAAGTTGGAGTTTCAAGATTTCGATCCATCGATAACACGTTCGATTTTCTTTGTTTTTATCATGTAGCGTCGTTCACTCCGTTCAAGCGGAGAGCAACGAAATTTCGTTGATTCGGAGCATTTTTCAGCATTCTTGTTCGGCATACTTTCAACTTTGACAAATCGCGCGACCGACTGGAGCTCTCTCTAATTAGGAGAGAGTCTCCTTTGAGAAAGAGAAGGTACTCGAGACGAAGGTAACGTGGACCGATGGTCCGTCAGCGAAGTTCGACAAGACGAATGGTCGCGGGTGCAATGGGGAAATCGAACGAGCGTTCACTCACGGGTGCAGCTAGAATGAAAAACCATGTAGCTCGTAGATGGAGTTTCCTCCGGGAGAGAAAGTAACTGCCGAGAAGGACGAATAAAACCAACTCTGGCTGTTTGTCAAATATTTTCACGGCTGTAACTCTTTAGTGCCATTTGGGGGCATTGTCGACAGAACGCGAATGCATTCTTTTTTTTTTTTCTTTTTCTTGACGATCGTATGTTACTTGTGTTTGGCCACTTACTGTGGCAAGACTTTCTTACATTATTGTACAAAGTATTTATTTCACGTGTTCTAAGACACTGAAATTGCAAAATATTTAATAGGTTACAAATATATAGGTGTTACATATCTCATAGAAATTACAAAAGTCAATCGTTCGTTGTTAGAGTGCGGATGCTCGTGTAAGAAACATATAATATATGCCAGTAAAATATGCATATATGCAAATAGGAAAAAGGATATGACACAGGCATTTTATGACACTGTTTTATACTGTACTTTATTCTATATCGAGCTATTGCAATAAACAGCACGCCATAATTTTTTTCATGTTTGACATTATTTTCTATGAATATTATAACGACATTTGCGAATACTCATCTGCGATGGCACACGAGACAAATATGTTTCATGCGTTACAAAATATGCAATACGTTCGTGCATATGCTCTCAAAATATAAATATGCAAGGCACATGCATTATGCAATTCGTGCACAATAAAAAGACATCATTTTTGGAATCTTTTAGTGTCTTGAATTTTTGTCTACACTCCATCTTTCCTAAATTTGCATAAATATCCACACTCTATTCATAATTCGCAATATTCTAAAGATAAAGATAACCAAAAATGTAGAGAATGTTATCCGTAAAATATGTCCCTAGTTTAAAGAATTCCGTCAATATAAAAATGATCAAACACAAATGTTGTACACAATACAATATATATGACTAATATATATATAATACTATTATTTATATATATATTCTTTTATTTTTTTATTATTATATTATATTAATTTATATATATATATAATACTATTATATTATTGTACATATATTATATACATATATACTGTACTACTATTATGTATGATATAGTATTATATTATATATTCTATAATATACAATATTATATATTATACTTATATTAGTCATATATATTGTATTGTGCATGACATTCGTATTTATCGCTCTTATATGTATATATATCTACTTTATATAAATATTCTTATATATATTTTTTTTTATATAAATATTTTTCTATATATGTATTACATTAATATAATTATACAATTATATTAATGTAATAATGCATTATATCATTGAATATATGTATATACGAAAGCTGATATTGTTGAAGTATACAATTTAAATGAAAATGATGAAAACGATCGATCTACTCACCGAACGGAGGAGAATAACCGCCGTCGTCGCTGTCGCCGTCACCGTCGTCCTCTCCGTCGTGCTGCTCGTTCAGTTAACTCGTCGCGTTAACCGACAAGTTGCGCTTCAAACCCTAAGCGTGTACCTGAAATGGAAACCACAAGGTTCTTTCAACGTTTCGATCGAACGAATTTCGAACAGCCGCGAGCTCGCGAGAATTAATTAGCCATCGTCGAGCTACCATCGTTCGAACAAATCGACTGGTTGGATCGATTACATTTATTTCCCTTCGTTAAATATTACGAACAAGTCTCACGCTTTATTCATTTTTTTTTGAACTTTAACGAGTGAAATATAAAATTTATGAATTGATTGAAACTGACGAAAGAATTATATTTATTTATCGCGCGTTCACGTATTTCTCTTCTAGTTACATATTTTTTTTTTTTTTTTAAATCACCTGTGCTTCGCGTTAGCCGTAATAGTCAATTTTGTGGAAATTTTGAAATGATGAAATATGAAAAAGAAACGTGACATGCGAAATGATATGAAACGTATGAAATAAATCACTCATCAGTGTGATGATATAATATTCAACAAGTGATAAATCTTTATCGTTTATAGTTGGTTGAATTATTACACAAGACATCTGAAATAAATCACTCGGTAAAATAAAGAATAATATTCAATATGATACTATAATACAATATAACATTCGATGAATATACGTTATAATATTCAACGAATGAATAAAACAGAAACGTTATAATATTCAACGAATAAATAAAACAGATCTTATTCAATAATATTCAATAAATATGATATATAATATAATATAACATTCGATGAATATAACACAACAAATTTTTTCCCGCATTCAACAGCGTTCGTAAAACTACAAGATTGCATAATTCACAATACAGTTAGGATTCTCTGTCATAAACGACCCTGTTTCCCTGCTGTATATGGTTATAAACTGCACGTCTTTTAAATTGAAATTACTCCAGAATGATGAAATATCCATCGATTATTCAGGTTCGTTCGAATAATTCCAGACGTAGTCGTCAGACGCGAGACCCTCCCCCGCTTTATATTTTAGTAGCACCGTCAACAAGGAAAGGGTGGTTCCTCTTAATTAATTTGCATCGGTTAGCAATCCGGAATGGTCGTTCATCTCGTGGTGAGCGTGTTTCTCGCGTGTAGCGCCAACGTAACCTCGCGTTGTAGCTCGTTATTTCCGTTTCCGGAACGTCTCCGACATTCTGAGACAGCTACTTATGTGGCTGTGCCGGCGAGGAAAGATGGAACATCCTATTAATCGTGTATATTCCGTGTATTGCCTTGGCAACTGCTTCTCTCTCTCTCTCTCTCTCTCTCTCTCTATCTGTGTTCTTGAATTCACGACCAGTGATAGAATCCGAGACTAGCGACACATATTTCAGTTTCGAAGCGACTCGAGGATTTTCGATATTACGAAATCCGCCACAGTTTGGAAAATATATCGCACGCAAAAATTGGGGGATATTAAAAAATGAGTACGAAGCGATAAAAGAAAAGAAGCATTTGTTTTTTTTTTGTTTTTTTTATTGAACAAAAACATCAGAAAAGCAAACGACAAGTCAAAGAAAGTTGTTCTTGTTTAATGAAGAAAAAAAAAGGAAAAAAAAAATCAAATGCTTCTGTTTTTTATATTCATTTCGAAATATCCGCTAATTTTTGTGAGCAATGGTAGGCACGTGGAAATTTCAAATAGAAACGTATCGCGCGATTAGGAAGGAAAATATTCCCGTGCCGAGAAGCCTGGACGGAAACGGCGTGCACAAACACCCCAACCTCCACCGTTCAATTTTTCACGGCGCGATTACCAGCCACGTCACGTTGACGTTTGCAACGATGTATCGCTGGGAGAATATAATACTCGCGGGTCGGACTGCGAGCGTCCGTAACAAAGGGAGGTAATTGCGATCAAATCGATCCAGTCAGACAGTTCGGCTGCCCTCGGTCGGTTGAATGTCGCGGACGCGCGTTCGTTACGTACGCTCGGCCAATTCTCTCTCCCTCCCTCTCTTTCTCTCTCTTTCTCTCTCTCTCTTTCTGTACCTCGCAATAATGAAAGTATAAATATTCAGGCAGAAGCTCGGCAGAACGCGTAGCTACGGCAGAGCCCCGGATCGATACGATTCATCGCGACATCGCGCGTGCAAACGCACGGAGCGTGATACAAAACGCGCGTCTGCCTGGAGATATCTCGGGGCGACCCGTGTCTATCGAGCGTGCACGCGCATGCATTTAAATTGCCAAAATTATAGCGTCGGCAACGAGAGCCGATCGCTCGGATCTTACCCGCTCGTTTACCCGTCGCAAATATCGAAATATTTCGCGCGCCGATGCGAACAGAGACGCACATCCGTTCGACTCGACATTTTGTTTCACTTGTACAACTCGCGTGATGAGTATCGGGGGCCGTTCTCATAATTGAATTGTATTTTTGGTTTCATTCTTTTTTTGTGTGTGTGTGTGTGTGTGTGTGTGTGTGTGTGTTTTTCATTGTCCTTCGAAACGGGAACAAGGAAGTTAGTTGGTTTCTTGTTTTTTTTTCTTTTTTTTTTTTCGAAACATCGCTGTGAGTGAAATAACGCGTGAGGGATTCGCGAAAATCCAGCGCGATTGAAAAATAGAAATTGGAATGACTTGCCGAGTCTCAATTTGGTACAATTCATTTTCTGTTTTTTGTTTTTCAACTTCATTCGATTAGTATAATTAATGTTCACGTTTAGTTTCAGATTCGAATTGTTCTCTCTTCATTGGGAACGGCATGAATTGAAACCCACGTTTCAGCGTGAACGCTAAAAACATTTTTTTAGGTGTTTTTTGAGAATCACGTTTTTAAAAATCACGTCGATATATCGTAGCAATCTGGTTTTTCATTAAGCTGAAATTGAAATCGTTCTGACTTTTGTTTCTCCCGTCTGTGCATATGATTTTTTTTAAAAAACATAGAAAATTCCGTTCACGAACTTTTCCAAGCCGGCGATTTTTTTTTTTTTTTGTTTAGTTACCATAAAACAGGGAATATTCAGAAAAACGTATATTTGATTGAAAATGACCTTACTTTATTTACTTTTGTCTGGCATTACGTAACGATAAAATGGTTCCATTCAGTACCTATTATACAGCAATTAAACTATGTAATATATTATTAAATGTATTATAAATATGTGTTAAATGTATTATAAATATATTTAATGTATACATTAAAACTATTAACCACTAAAATTTCGGATTTACATCAGTGTAACAAGAGAAACATACTACCTATTTCATAAAACATCGACCGAAAACCCCCCGAAATATGTACCTTCGTAAATTCGCAAAATTTCTATAAAAAAAAAAAATTGTACAAGGTGTTTGGTTTTGCTGTTGAAGCATTCACGCGCGAAACTCCAACTTCCAAAAGAGACCGGTACAGGCCAAACACGTTTCCACCGAAAAATTCATCAGCCCAGAATAAAGTTGCACACGCTTTCGATCGTTCCTTCCCAAACTCAAACCGAGCCGAACAGAGCACAACAGAATTACAAATCGCCCTGAAACCACCCTGAATCCTACGATAAAGCGAGTGAAACTTTGAAAAATCTGGTACAATGGACAGATATGTATCAACATTCTCTATAGAAAATCGCGAAAATCACGCTCGTCTATTTTCCTTCAAGAAAATTACGTTGCACAAGCAACGTGACTGACGAAGAGACGCCGAAGACAGCTTCTCTCTGGTACAACTTCCCGTTCTGATTAAGGACAACGCCGATGTCAGTTAATATCGGGTTTATTAGGTCGCTGCCCCCCCCCCCTTCCCCCTCCGTCCCCCGGTATTCTTATTACCGGGCGTTACGAGCCAGCGTGCGATGTGGAATTTTAATAAAAACCCGCCGTGTATCTCCCGCAGCTACTTCATCCCCCTTCGTATCTGCACGTTTGTACATCTGCGCGTGTAATACACGGCCGACAACATGGATGCACGATACGCAGAGCGTAATTAATTCGCCCGGAGATTCAAGACTCTTAATTGAACCGATCCTGTCAGCTGTAGGGGAAACGGCCGACCTTTATTATGACAGCCTGTCTTTGTCAGCGTGTTGATTGTAACTGACTTCAGCCACTGCCCGGAAATTCATCCGGATCGACATTCGTCGATCGAGTTTCACGCGGTTCTTTTTTTTGCGAATACGCGTTTCGTAATTATTGAAAAAAATGACAATAAGGCGATTGTTTGATCCCGCTTCAGCCAAGGTTTGATCCCGTTGGAAAAGGTTTGGGTTAGATTCGTAGATTTGTAGACAATCTTTTATCGTTGACGATGAATTTCTTTTTCTTATTTATCCGGATGCATTTGTAGATCGAGTTTTGTGTGTTTTCTACGAATACGTTTTATGATTATCAGAAAATAATAACAATGAGCCGACTATTAAGAAGGTTTGACTCCGTTGGAAAAGATTTGGGCCACTCGTAGACAATCTTTTATCGTTGACGATGAATTTCTTTTTCTTATTTATCCGGGTGCATTTGTGGATCGAGTTTTGCGTGTTTTCCACGAATCCGTTTTATGATTATCAGAGAATAACAACGAGCCGACTATTAAGAAGGTTTGACTCCGTTGGAAAAGGTTTGGGCCACTCGTAGACAATCTTTTATCGTTGACGATGAATTTCTTTTTCTTATTTATCCGGATGCATTTGTAGATCGAGTTTTGCGTGTTTTCTACGAATCCGTTTTATGATTATCAGAGAATAACAACGAGCCGACTATTAAGAAGGTTCGACTCCGTTGGAAAAGGTTTGGCCTACTCGTAGACAATCTTTTATCGTTGACGATGAATTTCTTTTTCTTATTTATCCGGATGTATTTGTAGATCGAGTTTTGCGTGTTTTCCATGAATATGTTTTATGAGTATCAGAAAATAACAATGAGCTGACTATTAAGAAAGTTTGACTCCGTTGAAAAAGGTTTGGGTCACTCGTAGACAATCTTTTATCGTTGATGATGAATTTCTTTTTCTTATTCATCATCAAATGGATGCATTTGTAGATCGAGTTTCAAATGTTCCTATAAATACGTTTTATAGCTATTGGAAAATAAACCGATTGTTA